TAATTCCCAGCAAACAAAAACTGTGACAACTAACAAACTGAGCTAAAGAGTTTAATTTACCTCTAGTGACTGACATGTCTTCATTTACAACAAAATCAACATCCATGTCAAGATCCAAGTCTTCTGAAAAGTCTTGATCTGAATGTTCAGACAGGGATATGTCAGAGCATTCAGAGTCATCCAAGGCAGTTTGTGCACCATTGGCGCCAACACCCACTAAGCACTGCAGCATCAGACTCCTCGGTAGCTTCCACACCATGGGCAACACTGGAGTCGGGAGCGTTGAGGCGTCTTCTTCAGTCAGCTTAAATTTCTTTTTCGGGGGATCGCAGTCTAAAAACCGCCACATTCTGACAGTAGACTAACTGGAAACACGTCAAAACTCTGCACACCTCCATATATCGTCTACCATTGTTTTACCAGCTGCTGATCGAGATACAAACTAGAAATTACTTATGATATTTTCTGAAAATTAATAAACTTAGTTATTGGGGATGAAAGAACTGTCGGCTATAGGATATGCAGAAAACAAAAGCTGTGGGTCCGAGTGGTTTTCAGTCAGCCTAAAGACCGACGTTAATTTCGAACGCTGACACCAGAGGATAGGGGCTACCATTGTAATTGTAACAAAGGCTTATAACCCCTAAATTCTCAGTATGTCTCAAATTTCCTGAATCACATTCTTTCCCTACTGCCTAGTCCTCCATGCAATGCAATTTGTTACTGTCAAAATTCTACATATTCAGAGACTAAGCGTTAGTCTACTGACCCCTTGAGTGAGTGAGTTAGTGAGTTTAGTTTTACGCCGCAATCAGCAATATTTCAGCTATATGGTGGTGGTCTGTAAATAATCGAGTCTGGACCAGACAATCCAGTGATCAACAGCATGAGCATCGATCTGCGCTCTGACCCCTCGAAGCTAGTAGGGCGTTCCACAATTCTGAATTAAAATGAAATAAAATGAATGAATGGATATTGCTTTACGCCGCATCGGCAAAGTTCCAGCCATTCTCGGCGTATTTTCTCTAATTGACGTAAACATGTCACACCATATTCAATAAAAACTGACTTTTACTTTGTACAAATAGCTCAGTTTTTCACTAACGACAAGCGCCTTACGGGCAGTTATCAACATATCACATTTGTAAAACTCACCAGCACAAACCGAAAAGTGCTGAAAAGTATCATGGCGAATCTGGATTCGAAAACACCATCGACGGATCCACTGTGGAATAGGCACCTCATCACTCAGGACGCCGAAGACCCGGGTTCGAATCCTCACATGGGCACAATGTGTGAAGCCCATTTCTGGTGTCCCCCGCCGTGATGTTGCTGGAATAATGCTAAAAGCGGCGTAAAACCAAACTCAATCAGTCATCACTCAGGTGATTGAGGTGTCTTACCCATTGTAGATCCTTTTGTCCCGAATCATTTTAAGTTTATGAATTGGGCTGAGCATGCACTGTTTCTTATTATACCATCGTCCGTCAGCTGAACACAGGTCTTTGGCGAATACATCTTACAAGGTCACATCAACATGAACGAAAATACAATACCTTTCAGATTTTTCATTGCTCTGAGGATCGTCCTTGCTGAATGCCAGGCAGCTAAACCAAGGCCTTCTTTTAACCTTATCTGCATGATGTGGTTTGGGGACAGAATGGCAAAGGGGCTTTCCCAAAAAGCTCGTTTCAGTCTGTTTTATACAGACAGGAGAGTTTGATTGAAATAAGTACACAAATGTGCCATTTGAGAGTCAGGAGACAGATGGTCTTGTGTATTGATAATATATTGTTGACATCTTCAGATTTCCTAGGTTTGATTAGCAACACATTTAACAGAACTGGATGACTCTTCTAATGTGTTTGCCATACATCTTCATTGGCGGTGGACTTTGATGATTTGGAGATTTTTGCCATTAACATTTACGCTATGGAGTATATGAGAACAAAACTACTGATGCTTATAAAAACACTCACTTGTTTATTTATCTCATAGTGTGGAAACAACTTACTGTAAAGCTAAATTACATCGAGAGGGAAGTGATAAATATTTGCAATGCAAATCAATAAACCTTGTTTAGTTATCACACAAATTCACAAAACAAAAGTGACTTATGAAAACTGAAAATGATTCAAGTGAAGAAACAGGATGATTAGTTATTGGCAGTTTCTTATGTTTCAATACACAATGCATCCTTGAATGCTTCAATCATACTTCACTACTGAATGCTTCAATCATGCTTCATCACTGGATGCATCAGCCATGCTCCACCACTGGATGCATCAGCCATGCTTCCTTTGTCCAGTAAACAAACAACCTCCTCCCCCTACACCCCACCCCCCTTAAAAAAAGAAGAAGAAGAAAAAAAGAAAAAGATAACAACTTTGTGAATAGACTAGAATGATGAGGGTATAAACAGCTTCACAATTCATAACCATTTTGCCCTAAAACAAAAAAACCCACAATTTTCATAAAGATGCATGGTGTTCATTCTGGAAATCCTATACACAGTACAGACATTGACTGTTTGAATTCAATAATCACAAATGAAGATAGTAAATGAAAATAGTTTGACCCTTAAATTTAAACAAATGCAATCTGAACTTGTGAAACTAATTTCCAAAATAAACAAATACTAAGCTTTAAAGAATGAACAACATGGTGTTACCCACAATCTGTACTTTCACGTTGGTTGGAGTTTCCACTGAGTGAGTGAGTACGATTTTAGGATGCTTTCAGCAATATTCCAGCAATATCACAGCAGGGGACACCAGAAGTGGGCTTCACATATTGTACCCATTTGGGGAATTGAACCCAATCTTCAGCATGACAAGCAAACGTGTTAACCACTTGGCTACACCACCACCCGTTTCCGTTAAGACTGGTGAAGTCATGGTTTGCATTCCATGATCATAATGCCAATGTCTAAGCAGTGTATGAAATAAGCCAAAACTCCAGCCAGACGTCAGGGCTGGTAACTTCAAAATGTTACCAGTCCAAAATGGATTTAACCAGACCAGACCCAAGATATGACTCAGATGTATATAACATCTAAATTTTTTACCAGACCGTCGGGCTGGCTAGCTGTAAATCTAGACCGTCCGTCTGAAATCTAACCCGCCTCTGGCGGTCAGACGGCCTTATTTCAGAAACTGATCTAAGACACAATCAAACCAAATTGTGTGTGCATGTCACCATGTGGAATTATACCACCAAAACAACTGCTGCAAAACCAAAACAATTTCAGAACAAACCAATTACATGCCTGCAATAAAAATGTGCGGCAACAACTCCAATATTTCTGAGATTCAGTGTAAAATATATGTGGACATAATAAATTTCTTTTGTCAAGTACATTTATGTTAACAACATAGAACAATCACAAATAAAGATCAAAATCATAATTTCATGTCAGGATCAAATTTTGTTCAAAGATTGAGCCTTATTGATAATGCACATTCCCTTGTCCCTCGCAATATTGATAAACTTGACACCCAGCACTGAAATATTCAACTGCAAATTTGAGATAATGCTTACAAATGTTGACAACATGGAGTAACTCTCATTCACACATAACCCCGTATAACAGAGAGGTAAGCATTTTAGTATTAGGGCAACATGCATACTACTCAAAACAAGATAAGGACCATCCAAGTCTTTCACATTACTGTAGTTATCTTGTCATGGAAGATTAACTATGGTCCTGAGCTTACTTTGAGCAGTATATTTTTGATAGGTAAGCAAACATGTACATCTTAAGGAATATTAGAAGAAAATCAATTAAGTCAGATTACACCACTAGGGTATGCTGTATCCACTGTTTCAGAAGTTTGTTTTCTATCAATGTGATGGCGATTTTCATGCAAAAGGAGTAAGCTTTGTTTAAAAATTTGTATTATTGTGGAACATTTTGCAGGATCATCGTTTTGCAGGCCATGTGGCAGAAGCAGATTTGCACCCCTCAAGCCACCTTAAAATCTGAAATCTGAAGTACACCTCAAGATCTGATGTGCACATATGATAATCAGAAGAATATCAGCTCCTGCTGTATATTCAAACATAGTTTAAGTAGATCAAGTAGATCAAGCAGCACATGGCAACAATGCAAAATGACAACAGTGTTAGAAAGAAGAGTTCATCATGTTTATAACATCCTGTAAAATAAACTATGGTGCCCCACCGCCCGTGTTAGAAAGAAAAATGCTTTCAATAATATGGTGCCTCTTCCCAACTTAAAAGTATCTAATACAATTTTGTTTCAAACATTAAGCAAACTAATATGTTTACTGTCAGATTGTGCTTTTTAAGTAAATGGCTACAAATAAAATACAAACATAATTTTAGTTTAAGCTCACCAAAACATTATAAAATAACATTTTGCTTACGAAATTGTATATAACTTGACATACATATGAGTTACAAGATAGATTAACTGATCAACTGAAATTTAGAACAATACTAATTCCATATCAATATTAGTATGTTCCTGTAAAGATGATTAAATAATATGATCAGACAAACAAATAATTAACATTAAATCAAACATTCTGTTGATAAAATGTGACATTTTGAAGCCATAATTCTAACATATTGATAAAGTTTTAAATGTTTGATTTTCACACAATTGATTCATAATTTAAATCATGGCACAGTAAATAACAATACAGTTTAACAATAATAAAACCACTAAAAGCACTGTGATGTATAGAATTAAACGTCTTGGAATTTAAATGAAACACCAATTTGATTGATTTCCATAACGTTTTTATGACAGATTCATAAACAAAATGTTCACAAAAAGGCCAGACCAATTTTACTTCTTGTTTTACGGATTTGCCAGTCCTATTTTTTCAAGAATAAGTAAAAGAATAAAAATTAATTTTACCCTCTCAAAATATAAAATTCTTATGTTTTCATTGGCCCAAAATGTAAACTTTTTTGATTGTTTTTTTGCCCCATACACACTTTATAAATTGTCAAAAATAAAATACTTTTAGTATTTAAAAGGAGTATTACTTTGGTGATTTTTATTTTTTATTTTTTTCCCTCCTGCCTTAAGGTTTTCTGAGGACAAAAATCTGTAAAACAAGTAATAAAATTGGTCTGGCCTAACAGAATGTTAAAGCTGCATGTCAGTTTGAGACCATTCACTGCAGTTATGTCATCTGGTTGTTCATGAACTTTCAATGTCATGTCCTAAAACAAACAATTAAAACACCGGAAGTATTTCATGTCTCCCTTAAAAGAGAAAACTTCACCAACTAAACGCTTGGTAACAACTATAAAGTCAAAACAAAATGAGATTTCAGATTTCTAAACAAAATAAGGTCAACAATAACAATTTTTACACAATAATCTCAAACACGATCAAATATATTTAGTCATCAGAACCTGTTCCAATGTTCATAAGGAACTTTAAGTTTTCAAATCAGGTTCTTGAAGAATATAACAGGAGCACTAACAGCACTGCTAACATAACAAACGGATACATGACAGAAGTAAAGTATTGTAACTTTGATATGGAGCTACAACAATACAGAATTAGCATTCCTTAACCAGGATACAGAGAAGTGTGTATCTGTTGGTGGGATTTTCTTAAGACAAGTAACTAATGCCCTCCCCAGGACGAACAATTCACCTTGAGCTCCAGAAAGACTGAAGGTTTAACATCACAACTGTCATACTGTTAAAGACAGGGCTTTACCCAGGATGTGTTGCTGATGGAAGAAACTTACAATCTGTGATGTTTTCAGATATGGGAATATTCTTAAATATGAGTATGATATTAATGTTTTCATGGCTTCTCACTTATATGACAGTAGGGCTGCAACGATTCGGTTCAATTCATCGAAAATGGAATCTGACACCTTAGTTTCGATTTTCGATAACCATTATCACTATTTCAATTCGACATTTGAATACCTATTTAAATTATTTCCACACAGCCAGAACGTAATTTTGACCCCAACTCGAGCAGTTTGGAGCACTGAAATAAGGTGAAACATGATTGGTTGATGCCGGGCTAATCATAAAATTACAATTGTCGTTAGTAGACATCGCCAATCGAATCGAGGTCTGGGTGAATCGTTGCAGCCCAATATGACAGTATATTTCATGAGTTTGAAAACATATTTTTCCAGGTAAAAGTCATAAACATTTGTCCACATTTTTAAGCTTTAAATTCTTTGAAAATCTCATGTTACAATGAATATTTACCACAAATCAGTTTAACCATCATGCTTGGTTTCATTGGACCTTATATATGTTCCCTGGAATTGTTTCAGTGGGTGGTATTTATTGAACTCATTCAATGACAGGATGAAATCAGTATCAGCATCAGTAGTGTCTCAGTAACCCTGGATAAAGCTCTGTTACAAACTATAATCCTATACACTGAATCTGAATACACACTTGATCCATGTGCACCTAAGACCAAACAACACCTCACATTTGAAAAAAAAGAATATAACTTTCAGATGAGAGAGATAGTATCTTCCTCGAATATTCCTCTCCTCTCAAAGACATTTTAATCTCACGTTCCTTTTTGAATGTTCTGATATGGCTGTTGCCCTGGTCATGGTCAGACAATGAAATGAATGAGTTTCATAGTATCCAATGTTAGTTTAATAATTGTCAAACATTTGCATTAAATTGTCAAACTATTGCAAAAACTGAGCCCATGAAAACTGAAAACATGAGTATAAAATAGTCAATGATGATGAACTGATATTGAAACTCAGAAAAAACTTTCCTCAAGGAGCTTCTTATGAAAAGGCTGTTCACACATTAATGGATAGCATTGCGAAACATCTTAATCGGATGTCCAATATAGTGGGACCTTGGGTAGATTTGATAGGAAATTGGAAATTTCACTCAAGACTATTCTCCCTAAACAGTAAGCAGACGCAGAAAATTTACACCATGTTTGGCCTAAATGTCATTAACTTAAAATTAACAGAATGATATGCAATCAATCATAACATATCAGGTGTTGCAAAAATATCAGAGTATACATATGAAAATGATATTTGATCAAAGTAAATGTATATTTGCTTGTGTGAACTCCTGAAACAGAAACAACCTCAAAATATTCTGATTCCTAAATCCTACATCCAAAGAAATATTCAACAAATGCTAGGACATTTCTTTGGCTGTATTTCTTAGTCTCTGGCAACAGTTTGAAAATAGCGACAGCTCTGCTTAGACCTACAAAAATATCGAATATACAAAACATATCTTTTCTACAAATACTCATATCTTCTTGAAACAGCTATTCCTACAAACTTCACCACACATCACCATCAGCCATGACCATTATCTTCTAATCACTGAGATACTCTCACTGCTGTGGCCAGTCCCAGGTCTCGGGTTCGAAGCTCTCGTAGTTAGTAACATAGATGTGGGATCTGATGAACTCCTCCTTGTCCTTGGGTTCTGGGTAGGTGGAGGCTAGACCATTGGCATACACATACTCCGCCAGATTGGTAGCCAGCTTGATGGACACCTCCCGGATGTTGCTCAAGGGAGGATACACACGGCCCACCTCAAGATCCTGGTCAGTTACGATCTTGGACAAGCTCTGAGGTAAGAAAGAGATTGTTGTTACCTGATGGTCAATGTAGTGACATTATCGAAAATAAACAACTCAAATGAAGAACACACGGTTCTTTCATATTATCACAGTTAATCTGTCTACACACAACAGAATAACCATGCCATGACAGACTTATTACAGTGATATGAAACATTGGGAAGTGGTTTAACTTCTTTTGATTAGTATATCAACAATTACTTCAAGGCTGATTGTTTGTTATTCTGTTAATCTTTTAAGTCAAGCTGTGTGGTTGAGCAAATGAAAGTAAATTTTAGAACATAGTAATTCTTTGGGTTTCATTGCCACTGGACAACTACCAAAGACCAACCTCATATAATATTACCTTCTCATAGCTCTGACTGATGTGTTAGTGACTTTAGTTTATATGCCGCACTCAGCAGTATTTCAGCTATATGGTGGCGGTGTGTAAATAATCGAGCTGGAACCAGACAATCCAGTGATCAACAGCATGAGCATTGATCTGTGCATTTGGGATAGGATGTCATGAGTTAACCAAGTAGAAAGCATAAACAGGAAACCAAGAAATGGGTGACAATAAGTTTGTTTGTTTGTTGATTAATGCCAGACTCAGCAATATTCAAGCTTGATGGGAGCAGACTGAAAATAATCAAGTCTGGACCAGACAATCCAGTGATTAATGGGCGACACTAAGTATACAGCTGGTCAACCTACCCGGGCAGCAGCCAGGAAGACAACCTCAGGGATGTGTCTGACACCACATGTGATGACTCCGAGAGCTACCCCTGGGAAGATGTAAGCGTTGTTACCCTGACCAGGGTACAGGGTTTTCCCTCCAATAGTACATGCTGGGAAAGGGCTGCCACTGGCAAACACACATCGACCCTGTAACCGATGAGAGAAAGGTGACAATGTGACAATGACATTAATCAAAAAATGCTCCAAGTGAAAAGGGTCAAGATCTGTTTTGTAATACAAATTATGAAGTAAAAATTGTGTGTGTGTGTGTGTGTGTGTGTGTGTGTGTGTGTGTGTGTGTGTGTGTGTGTGTGTGTGTGTGTGTGTGTGTGTGTGTGTGTTCTATTCAAATTAGTTTAACAATGAAAATAAGAAACACAGGACAATCTAAAATTTCTGTTTCCCAACTACTTTGGATTGACCAGTTGCATTTATTAATACCGTTAGCCATTAATATTTTCCTACCCTTTGATAACAGATAACAACAAAAAACTAGGTTAATCTGAATGAAAAGGTGAATTTCTTCTTAATCACAAACCACAAGTTTTCTAACTGTTGAGTCTGGACCAGTAAAAAACAGAGGTTAATCATTCAACTGATCAATCCAAGTAATTGAATGGTTGTAATAAACAACTGAATACTGGTAACCTTTTCGAAGAAAAACAAAGTCATTTTGGCTTCAGATTGAGCAACAAAATAAACATCCTGATGATTATATGGTGTATATGAAAAACAGATCAATCCGTGAAGCCATACAATTAATACTACTTTCAAGTTTCATTTATCCATAAATGTATATGATCAACCATTTTGGTATGTATTAGAGGCATTTAAAATAGAATGTTTACCTCAGTTAGGGTGTAGGCTTGTTCTGCTGTGCACTCAGCCATTGATGTTGGGTTACTGAGAGCAAAGATGATTGGCTTATCATTGATCTGGCCCATTGTCCTCAACACTTCCTCAGTGAAAGCTCCTGGGACGGCTGCAGCTCCTGAAGTGTAGAAGTTTTGCATGTACTCCAGTCTCTTGTATCTAGGTATTGATACATTTATTACTGGTGTAGCCTTTGAAATTCAGGAGAACTAAATAGCTCTTGACTGATAAACTGTGATCCATGTACAAAATTAATCAAATGAGTTGAATCTGGACAAGAAAATATGTGCGACATCATTCTTGTGCTTGCTCAGTATGATAACTAAGTATTGGAAGGGATCAATTATATGACACATTAGTCACATTAAACATAAGGCCAGATTCTTTTTGTTACAGATCTTTGGCCCAAAACTTAAGTGAGTGAGTGAGTGAGTGAGTTTAGTTTTACGCCGCACTCAGCAATATTCCAGCTATATGGCGGCGGTCTGTAAATAATCAAGTCTGGACCAGACAATCCAGTGATCAACAGCATGAGCATTGATCTGCGCAACTGGGAACCGATGACATGTGTCAACCAAGTCAGCGAGTCTGACCACCCGATCCTGTTAGTCGCCTTTTATGACAAGAATGGGTTGCTGAAGACCTATTCTACCCCGGATCTTCACTGGTCTCAAAATTTAAGTAGGGTAAACATATCAACATATACATTTCAATTTCAAATATTTTTGAATTTCTCAAAATGTTAATTTGGTATAAAAATGTGGTGGAGGGAGGAAAAGCTACCCCCAAGACCAAGCTGTTTTAGTTACCTCCTTCTGTAATTGAAAGGTATTTGTCATGATTCTATATTACTTGTTGCAAATATGCTTAAACAGATTTCACTGTAGCTATCAAATACTTTATTTCAGTTGATAGTGACATTGACAATAACAGTCTGAGATATTTTTCTACTGTTTTACTTTCTGGATGGCATAACACACCAGTTGTAACCCACTGCTTTCCATACTTTATACATTTCTTTTTCTTTATTTCAGCTTTTGGAGCCATATATCTTGTCTAAGATAAAGTATGGCTATTGACATCAAGATTTCCAACATCAGAGCCAGCTGAGGTGTACTTACAAAACAAAAAGACCTGTCAATTAGATTGCCAGATTTTAAGAGCAGCAATGGTGTACAAAAGTACAAGTGAAATCAAAAGAATAATGCAGTTCAGCATATGCATAGGTTTAGATTGATTTAAGCGCCCATGTACCCATGTAACTCATCTCTGGTTACCACAGCCTTTCATCCATTCATCATTTTAAAATCAGTTTTCCCATTGCTACTACAGACCATAAGGACAGCCATGGAACATCCTGTTAGAAAAAGAGTACTATAAGACCTTTTGGATTTACAGTGCTCTCTTTATCCCTGACTACCTACAGCATGTACAGGTGAGGTGAGGTGAAATTGGGTTTAACGTCGTGCTTGAGAATATTTCGCTCATATGACGGCATGCAGGTGTATGTGTATGTGCGGCTGCTTGTACTAGCCCAGACTTAAGCTGGTTTTATAGTGCTAGCTCACTGAGATACCATGCCGCAGTGAAGCATGAATACCCCACTCAGACACAGTATACTGACTCGAGCCGACCAGTCCTTGTTGTACCCATTAATGCCGAGCGCCAGGCAGGGACCAACAAGTACCATATTTTAACGTCTTTTGGTATGACGCGGTCGGGGATCGAACCCGCGACCTTCCGCTCTCGGGCGGACGCTCTAACCACTACACCACGGAGGCGGTCAGCATGTACAGGTGATACAATATTATCTCTGACTTTTATATTGCCCTTTTAGAATACAGTCATTACCTATCAATGCAGTTGGCTTAATTTCCTTCACTATTTCTTCTAGGGAAGTCATGGGTTTGACATCTTTGGCAAAGTCTTGTTTGTGTCCTGTTACACCACCTGAAGGACGGTTCTGTTTTCAAAACAAACACATGAAATGTTAAACAGTAATAATGGATAAAAGCAATTTCACAAAACAGCTAAATACATATGTATCATCCTTTAGTTTCAAAGTCATCAAGTATCAAACTTTATTTCATTTTGGAGTTTGGAAGAAATATCTATTGATTGTGTGTTTCCATATACTGTATATTACCGTCTATAAGCCGACCCCATAGATAAGCCAACCCCCAACACTTGACCCTTAAAATCAGTGTCAAAATGGTATGTTTCGTGCCTAAGCCGACCCCCCGCGATGGGGTCCTAATTGCGGCAAACACAGACCACAGACAACTGGCGGTTACCAATAATTTTAACTTTGGTCCACATTATTAAAAAAATTCACAATCATATTGCGTCTACTCCCGCATCGAAATACTGATGACTGCGCCAGAATTCATCCCGCTATATTATTGTGCATGTTTGAACTTGGTCGCTGGGAAACGTGTGCACAGCTGATTGTACGATAAATGTCATAATGAGTAATATGTAATAATATGTTGAAATAATGAAAATGTACAGGTTAATATGTATTTTATTCATCATTCACAACATAAACGCTGTAATTGTGGCAAACATCCTGGCAGATGTACCGGTAACCTGTAACATCGTCCTGGCAGGGCACTGGCGAGCTAAAATATATTTCTGTGAAATTGTATCTCACAGATAAGACGACCCCCTTCTACAGACATATTTTTTTGGTCCTCAAAATTCAGCTTATAGACGGTAATATACGGTACTGATAGAGTCTGGTCCATACAATCCAGCGACTCCACCCCTCTAGCCAGGTGAGGGGCTAGAGGTACTAATTAATGGCTTGTAACAACAGGGGGCTAGGGAAATGATGCCGATCCAGCCGATATAGATCTTGTGATTTATTACAACAAGAGTAAAATGTTGCAGAATAAAATGCTTCAGTGTATGCTTACACATATGTACAAAGTGTTGCGTACACTTACATTGACAATAAGTCCCCTTGAGTCCACCATGTATATCCTGCTGAGTGCCTGTTCCCTTGTGGCACCTTCCTCCTCCATGGCAAGAGCAAGCAGGTAGGCAATGCCAATAGAAGCCTGTAATATCACCATACACTGTGTCCTCAATGTGTTAACACACATCAGTGTTCGACATTCACTATGAAAGTCACGTCAATGTTAAAAGTTAAATGGTTCTGGGGTTCCTATATTTAATTACTATAAGACATCAACTACACCAGAGCTCTCTTTAGTGAGTGAGTGAGTGAGTTTGGTTTTACGCCGCTTTTAGCAATATTCCAGCAGTATCACGGCAGGGGACACCAGAAATGGGCTTAACACATTGCACCCATGTGGGGAATCGAACCCGGGTCTTTGGCGTGACGAGCGAACGCCTTAACCACTAGGCTACCACACCGCCCCTAGAGCTCTCTTTAAGCACTGCACATTGTTTAAAATTATGGCCACAAAATGCATCTTTCTCAAAGTTTCTCAAAGTGTTTAGGTCTCTCTCATTTATTGCAAGCAATCATGGACCCGCCATGAGTGAGTAAGCATTTGGTAAAGCTGCACTCAGCAATATTCCAGCTATTATGAGCTATATGTCGGCGGTCTGTAAATAATCAAGTCTGGACCAGACAATCCAGTGATCAACATCATGAGCATCGATCAACACAATTGGGATATGATGACATGTGTCAACTAAGTCAGCGAGTCTGACCACCCAATCTCGTTAGTCGCCTCTTACGACAAACATGGGTTGCTGAAGACAGATCCCAACTTGGACCTTCAAGGGGGTGGATTTAAATGAACAGCAAATCTTAGTACAACCAAGGTCAAGCAACTCTGTAACCTAATAACAGCAGATTTAACCAATGGCTCCCAGCAGTGAACAAGGAAGGTTTGCTTACCTCTCCAGCACCCTGGAACAGGAAGGTGTTGTCTATGAGTTTCTTCCCAGTGATACGTAGAGATGCAAACACTCCTGCCGCAGCCACAGATGCAGTTCCTGTCACAAACACCATGTTGAATTCTCGCCTTAAATTTGCAGCAATATTTTGTTAATAAACAAATGACATTGATCTGATATCAACTGTAATATATCTGCTGAAACTGACCCTATAAAAAGTATTATAATTTATGAACAGTGTTGGTAAAATGTCATGGCTTTCTTGTTTCGCTTAGTTGTAGGACAGAGTCGACTTTAAATACTTTTGTCATATGTCATCTTTTGTTGTTGGCGCGCACGCACGCACGCACGCACGCACACACAGCCATCATGGTTATATATTCTGGGCACAAACTCATAGGGCTGCGCAATATAACCGGTTTACCGGTATTTACCGTTTCAGACATAAAAACGATACGCATTGCGATACGCTGATCGAAAACCGGTATTTTGACTCGAATTCGGAAAACTTCGTAACACTCTGAAATCTTCGGATATTTCCTTGTTTCATTTGTGCCAAATACTATTTACATTTTTATTTTGTCATGATTAAAAGATTTTATTAAAGCTTAATCAAGCATAGTGATTTTGTTGTGTTCATGCTTTAAAAATCAAGCATTAACTCGATTATAAGTAGTTTTTTTGTTTAAAAATACTTCTTGCAATATATTGCAATACATATCGCAATATATGCTTTCGCATCGCAATATATCGCAATATGAAAATTCTCTGCAATACCCACCCCTACAAACTCACACTGATGCCGGTGAGTGAGTGAGTGAGTGAGTATGGTTTAACGCCACTTTTAGCAATATTCCAGCAATATCACGGCAGGGACATTGAGGCTGGAAACATGTCAACATGTTCTGAAACAGTCCTTCAGAATGTGTTATCTATGCACTGTAATGCGGGAAGGAATCCCTAAATGATGCAGGTCTTAAATAGCTTACTGTTCAGTGAAACCAATAACCATTGGTGAACTAGCAGATCCCGCTACAGCCAAGGGAGATAAATTGCCATGACGTTGACAGCTTGGCCCGGCCATGCCACCCAAGTGAGCAATACAGCAATTATTCAACTGTGACTCACTTGAAGCTTGTAACTATGTTATTATCAAGTATATACTACAAACAGTTCTCACCTTGAATGTCGTCATTGAACATGCAGTATTTGTGTCGGTACTTCTCAAGGAAGCGGAATGCATTCTGATTGGCAAAATCCTCAAACTGGATCAGCACGTTCTGCCCATACCTATAAAAAAGAGATTTTCATGTGACATATTAACATGAAATCATCACATCAAAGTTCTTTGTTTCACCACGGTTCCATTCCACGAAACATCACAGTGCTACATCCTTGGTAATCCCATGTGATTGAATGGGACTAAACACCTTAGTGCTAAGATCGTGGAACAAAACCCTGGCCTCATCAGTTTCTATTTGAATGATCTAGCGTACAAGTAGGCTTAAAAAAAATTACTCCATAACACAAAATTAGACATCTCATCTCATAGTTTCTCAGCCATCCAGGGCTCCAGATAATTTTTCATGATCAGAAGTACGTACTCCTTATTTATTCAATATAGGAGTACTGGAAAACCTTAAGAGTACTGAATGGAAATTAATGGCGTATCAGTAATCTTGTGTTTCGTTTCATATATGCATCACAACATTGCTACTCTTGTGTAAACAGGTCAATAAACAATATAACAAGACTTTTTCAGATAAATACGTCCGTAAATGATTCTAAGACCGTACACCATTGCTGAGGTGCGTATCTGCTACGCTTTCTAAACTATTTCCTACCGTATCTTGCATATTTTTTATCCGTACATACGCCGATACGACCCTTATCTGGAGCCCTTGCCATCTCTCACCATAAAGGCACAAATTTAAGCTTACGATATACAAATTAGACAAGGTTTTCTTTTCCTTAATAAACGCTTAGACATACTGAACAAAGGCTTAACTTTCCCACTACAAGACAAAAATACAAACTCATTGAAACTAATGGCTCCAATTAAAAACCAAACAAGATATGAGATGAACTTCATGATTCAGGCATAACATTCTTAAAGAAATGCAATTTGAGGTTAAGAAAGGATGTCTTTTAAAGTCGAAAGTAATAGGTAGAACCTGATAATTTTGGAGGTAACAGAACGACCTCATTTCTTGCAGAATAATCTACCTACCTCCGTGTGGCAGCCTGCATGAACTCATCTATAAATTCATCATATACTTCTCCAGTCACTCGCTTCTGGTTAAGACCGATGTACAGGGGATCATTATGGTATCTCTGCAATGGACATAGACAGAGTGCAGGGTGTAGACAATGTAACCAGGGAGAGCATGAGACAAACTTACACGAATCACATTCAAATCAAATTTTTCACTCTGACAAATAAGGTAACATCATTCCTCAGGGCAGGGGTGGAAATGACCCACTGCCCGACGCCCGAGTCCAGTGGTTTTGTTTTTGTATATCCTACTGTACTGGTGTCCAGTTGACTTTCCAATATTAATTATGTTGTTTATTTTAAAAAAATCAACAAGAAAACGGCTGGTATAGTGGAAAAATGATCAGGGCAAGTGATTTTACATGTGCCACTGTACCGGAGTACACTAGCAATTTTAGAGTTATTTCCACCCCTGCAGGGTCTGCATGAAGACCTGACAAACCCTTCAACTGCACCTAGTTAGCAGGCTGCAATGTAACAGAGAGACTGTTTAAAGCAGCAATAAGCTAAATTCACTCTCAGACTAATATTTTGTTTGTTTGTTGTTTAACGATGCCCTCGGCAATATTATAGCTATATGATGGCGGTCCATAAATAATCGAGTATGAATCAGACAATCCAGTGATCAACATCATGAGCATCGATCTACGCAACTGGGATATGATGACATGTCAAGTTAGTGAGTCTGACTGCCCGATCCTTATGTCAAAGAAAACGACTTCATCAGAGGTGACTTGTATACAGACATGATAAAAAGGTAAAAGGGATTTAATGCATTTTTTGACATTACTGCATTGTGAAACCAGGTCAGTCAAGAAAATCAGAACTTAAAAGAAATCCCAATTTGAACCAAATTAAACTTTCCCATATTCCCTGACAAGGGTAACCAGTTTGAAATCCTACATAAATCACTGGTTGTCCATGGTCCTGTATATTCTGATTCGTTTCTCTTTCACTCACCTCATTATTTGTGCCTACATCAAGTGTGATGGGTAGACACTGATCTGGAGGGATTCCGCCAAGGGCTGTGTAAAGTGACAGTTTACCCACAGGGATACCCATTCCACAAGCACCAAGATCACCCAGACCCAAGATACGCTGGCCATCAGTAACAACAATAGCCTGAAATACAGGAATTTGTTATGTCACATAACGTTGTTCTTGCTTCTGATCACCAACTGACCTAAAATACAACAACAGGTAGACTTTAAACAGTTTCATTTTATGCATGCATGCTCAATATGGTTTCACACCATGTGCTATTTCTAATGCCACAGTTGTACTTTTTCATGTAACCAATCATAACTAGCCATGTTTCTCATAATTCTGTCAATCAGGAAAGACTGCAAGGTGTCAAGGACTTGGAAGGGCACTTAAAATTAAATGTAACTGTAGTGGTTAAGAAATGAAAATGAAAAAATAATCTACTTCCAGTGTATTTTGTTAGAAACAAGAACTTTGGTCATTTGCAATCTGAAAATGTTCTCACAGTTCTAATAAAGATTGACATTGAAAGGAAATGAAGCATGCACTGACACTTGACAACAAATTTCAAGATAAACCAAAAGATAAAAACACGCTTTGAACAAATTGACGGTTAAATGCTAGAAGCTGCAGGTGGCTTGAGAATCACCTGTGTCTTCTAGACATTATTCAATAAATGAGCCAGGTGTGCTAAAAGAGTAATTTTCGTGTATGAGCAAAGCATCTCTGAAGAACATAAGTGTAGTTTGTGTAACAAATCATCACTCACCTTAATGTCTCTCTCTGGCCAGTTGCAAATCATTTCATACAGATGACCCTTGTCATTGATGGAAAGAAACAAGCCCCTGAAAAGTGTGGAAATCTAATTTGAATGTAATACAAACATTTCAGTCATTAAGAAGGGTTATTTTCCTAACATCTTTCCTAAAACGAGAAATCAAGCAAAAGGATACATTCATGAATACAGAAAAGAAGTTTTCCTGAAGTTTCACATGAAATCTACTATACATATTCCCAGTGGGGATTCCTTCAGAGAAAAGCTTTTTGTATATTATGGTGCCAATATCATCAAGTGATTGGAATTCCAGGGCATCATTCCTCAAGACGTTGGCTGAAGATGGACGTTTCTGTTGACAGGGAGAATGTAGCAGGATGTAAATATTGTGTATTTTAAACTTAAGCATATAATTTAGTTAAGAATTATAACAACCTTTTAAAGTAACACAAGCACTCTACTAAAAGAGTGTAACTAGGGTTACACTCGACTTCCAAGATACCAGCAAAGGATACTTGCTTCCTTGAGATGTGGCTCTCTAAAACAGGCCGATACTGCTCCCCTCCTATTCCCGTTACACAACGCTGCTGCAAACACTGTACATACCAAGTTGAAGACGAATTACACTTCCTTTTACACTGTCCCTTTTATAATGATATCCATACTTTTTATTCTAAGAATATATTTTATAATACTCCTGTAGATATTACCATTTTAAATAACCATTGTAATTTACCACTTTTAGGAAGCATGTGCTTCAAAATGTTTATGCGTCGGATGTTACTTTATGTATAATTTAACAATAAACTTAATATTTTATCTTTGATTGTGTATTTCATCATTTAAATTCCTTATATTTTTATATTGTGCCTTAATATATTGCTTATAATAATATGTAACATTTTATCTCTTTTTAGTGCACTAATTTTGTAAATATAGTCTCTCATAATCCTTTTGGGTGGCATTTGTACTTTTACCTTTTTAATATTCAAAATGCTGTATTTTAACTCTTGCTGTACAAATGGTGAGACTTTAATAAACTATATTGTATTGTATTGTATTGTATTGTATTGTACTAATACCTAGGTCAAGTAGTTATGTAAGTTAGCATGGGTTTCTATTTTTCTTCAGGCTCCTGGTCCAGCCACAGCTTGGCCAGTGATTGGATTTCTATTGCTTCAAGAGCATGTGACCAGATCTGGAGTTTTATGTATTCCAGCATTTCTCTTTTCTGCTCACTGCTGCAATTTCAACTCAGAGTGATTTATCTATCACAGCAGTGATTGGGTTTTTATCTATCACAGCACTGCACTTATTAGCCCACTTAGGGCAGTAAGAATTACACATTATATGACTGTCTTGTTGTACCCATTTGTATTTATATGACACTCTTTATCATAAGGAGGTTAGGATATGGTGTTTTACTCTAGTTAGTTTATCAAATTAATCATACATCTGTAACATATTACATGTTGTATGATGTGTTGCTATGTTCATTATGTGTATTTTATGTTACATATTGCATTTTCATCTGTATGACTGTAATTTGTAACATACGTTCATATATATACTTAAGTATTCCTTGTGGTGTACGGAAAAAGTTAAATGAATTTATATGTTTACTTACAGCTACTTGTTGCTGTACACTAGTAATGTGAGCCTTCACAAGGATTTCTCATTACCAAGTCTCGACATGATACTGCTGTTGCATATATTGCTCTTGGTGTCAATGTACTCTGACAGTTTCAGTCCTCACACAATAACGTTTGGGTAAGACGTCTGCCCGTACCCCCACCCCTAAATTTTAACGATTAGTAAAAATTTCTTTGAGTGACATTTTCATCCTTATAAGATGAGGAATAAAACTTCAGGTGATACGATTTGACTAGAGAGACAGACAGACAGACGTGGAAGTCTTTCCAAGTTGTCTTGGCCAGACTTGGTTGTTTCCAGGTCGCTGACAAATAGCTGTAATATTGCAATCTGCATCATTGAGTGAGTTTAGTTTTACGCTGCACTCAGCAATATTCCAGCTATATGGCAGCAGTCTGAAATATTTGACTCTGGACCAGACAATCCAGTGATCAACAGCATGGGCATTGATCTACGCAATTGGGATACGATGACATGTGTCAACCAAGTCAGCGAGCTTGATCACTCGATTCAGTTAGTCGCCTCTTATGACAAGCATGGGTTACTGAAGATCAATTCCAACCTACATCTTCACGGGTTATGCATCTTTAATCAACAAACAACAAATACCATATGAAGTCCCACCAGCCCAAAACTTTACCTAGGTCTCCGAAACACGACACCATACTCCTGACAAGCCTGACCAACAATAGGAGTGTACACGATGGGCATCATCTCTTCTGTATGTTCTGTCAACACACGATAGAACAGACGCTCATTACGATCCTGGAGTGCCGTCAGGTACACATAACGGTCAAGATCATTTGCACGTTTGTAGAAGTTTGTCATGACCCTGACAACTTGTTCGTCCTGGCTTCTGACTGCCGGCGGAATAAGTCCATGGATTCCCATCAGCTGGCGTTCCTTCAGAGAAAAGGCTGTGCCCTAAAAAACAAAATCTGCATGGTTAAAACATGTGTGTTTACCCAGAAGTTGATGCTGAAATCAGGAATCTTAATGGGACCATCACCACTTTTGTATCAGTTCTTTTTCAAATAGCATTCTTTGAAACTTGGTTCTAAACATGAAACAAGCATTCAATTAATGGATCCATGATTTTGTCAGCATTTGTGTGGAAATATAAATGACAAATGCAGAATATACAGAATTCATAAGATCAGCAAATAAAGAAGCCAGTGAATCCACAACATACACACTTGTCAGCATGCAGCAAGGTTTGAACCAGTACTTTTCTATGTGTTTTGTTTAAAACCTCACTCAACATTACCTGCCTGTATGAAAGTAGTGGATGACATCATGAGAATCAATCCACATAATTGGGATACACTGAAAAGCCTCAACAAGCCTGACGAACCGATCTCATCACTTGTCTCTTACAACAAGTTTCGGTTGCTAAAGACCACTAATAACCTAATGCTTTAAGCATCCTACAGTCCCATCATTGAACAATGAATGAATGAGCATGGGTTTACGCCGCCTAACAATATCATGGCGGGTGACACCGGAAATGGGCATCAAGCATTGTTCCAATGTAGGGAATTGAACCTGGGTCTTCTTCATGACAAACATACACTTTGACCATTAGCCTCCCCCACTGCCCCAGTGCTTCAGCCAGAATTTTTTTGAATTGCCAATTGGCACCTTAACTACTAAAATGTGTGCCACTGCAGTTGAGACTTTTGCCAGTCATGGTGATCATGGTATAGGAGACCTGTGGATTATATTAAATGTTGCGCCAATGGGCGCTCTAGCATTGAAAAAAAAAGTGCCATTACATATTTTTCAGTGTGAATGGCGCAATGGTGCTTGCCTGGCTGAAGAACTGCTGCCCCATGTCATGGAATAAAATGGCCCTGACAATTATTGAACAGTATTATATTATTATAGGATATTTATATGGCACACATATCCATGGAACTAAAGTACTGTCGGAAATAGAAAAAAACTCTTTTTAGGCTGTTACTCTGTATCCCTAAAATTTAGACAATTGCAAATAGCATATGTCGAAATAACCCACTTCGGCCTAACTGGGCGTTCAGTGGGATGAATAATATGATATCCAGAAAAGCATGTTTACTCGTAAAATCGGGCAAAACTTAGAAAAAATATGAATAGCTGCTGAAAACAATAGATCAGACTACAGATGGCAATTAGGTCGCTCAGCCAGGTATGATGACGGACCGTCGACTCACCTGGCATGAAATGCACATGTTGCCTACAGGCACAAGGGGTCATCTCAAAGATATTTTGTGCTTTTTCATGTGTGTTGACTATGTCTCATCTATTGATTAACATCTTACGTGTCTTTCTTTCATATAGTTTCATATAGTTTATGTTGAGATATGTAAAAGAGTATGATACCCAAAAACCATAGAAACGCATCGTAGAATATAGATGGCATGACCACCCGAAGATCGACAGGACTGGATATTATTTGTAAATTGTTATGACGTGCCGTGTACCTCCCCGGTATAATTGCCCTAAAGGATTATCTTATCTTAGCTGATATCTCTATCCCCAAGCCCGACCCCAGGTTTTGCTTTTGAGATGGCCCCTCCTATCTGGTTCTTTTTATAGTGACAGTGAGACTGCATGGTAGCTACATCCTTAATAGTTTGAGCATAAAAGTTATTATTTTTTACGCCAGCTATCGTTTATAATGAATCTACGTCTAATTTCAAATTGGGCATTTAAAAAGTGTCCTTTGTAATACAATATCGTCGCACACTAATTTGCATAAAGCCATGGTCTGTTCCCAAAAAGTCTTTTTGGACTTAGAAAAAAACTGCATTGCTCATTTCTGCACTAATTTCCCCTCAGTAAAGTCCTTTTTCTCTGTTTCCTATCTCTCTACCACCGAGACTGTAGTTAGGCCGAACTTAGTTTAACAGATATTTCACACTTTCACATATCAACAACATAAATTGTAGAGATAAATGAGAAAATACAGTTTTTTTCTATTTCCGACAGTACTATAGTACATGCTCAAGGTGCTGTGTTTTCCCTCGATCATTGGATGTCAATCTCAACAGCACTACAGCTCATATACTTGAAAATGTCTCCATACCTTGTTCAGTTTGGGGTTCCTAAGAATGTCCATCCCTCGGACCCTGGAGTGATTGATTAGGTACTTTGCTGGCCTTGTCGACACATGTGGTTTGTTTGCCTTCCTTTCCGTGCTTGTGTGTAAGCTTGAACTCGCTGGGATACATCTAAAACAAAACAAAAAATAACTCAGACCACACTAAATTATTTACCTGTCATACAGAACCCAGGGACATAAAGTTTGCTAAAAATGTTATTAAACTGACACGGCTGAAATTAAAGCCTTTAAAGTTTAATTCCAATACTGAGTTTTTCAAATCAAATCAATCCAACAACCTTCATATATTGCAAGGCGAATAATAAAACTTATTGTATCATTATGTTTTGACAAAGATAAATAGAACATTATTGTGTCATGTGTCATTAAGTATATTTGTGGGTTATCATCTTTGAGTAACTCTGCCAAGGTCATCATTGATATAGAATCTCCTATCCCCAATAGAGAACGTAATATCAGTGGCATGTAGTTCTTATGAGAATCAGGGGTTTACTCAACTGCTGCTCTTTTGGCCTTGGGCCAGAAGAATGTCAAGGGGGCCTGCTTTTGTTAGAGGTCAGCTGGCAGGTGAGCTTGATGGCTTATACTGACACCATTCATGTTGCACTATACAGAGGTTTGGGGCCTTGCATGGAGGAATGTGGAATCTTTTGCTGTTGACATTTTATGATGCCTTACAGGTATATCGACAAAAACTTGTGTCACCAGAGCTAATTGGTTTGTTGTGACAAGTCAGGAAAATAAACAAGAGTCTGTGATCTTTACAAAATTGACAAACTTGACTCTTGAGGAACGTGCAGTGATCAAATATTTGTTTGAGTGGCATTCTAGAAGTTGGTGGTATAGAGATGAGAAATAGGGACAAAATTTTATGCATAATCAACTTCTATATTTTCACAATAGCGATGTTTCGGTATTGCTTCTTACGTAATGTCAAGCATATGCTTGAAAATGGTATACATGGTATAAGAAGACATACCATAAGGTCACTATTGTGAAAATAAAGAGGTTGATTATCCATAAAGGTAGTCACCTTAGTGATCAAGTACTTGCAGAAAAGCGTTTAACTGTAATAACACCAAAACCTGAAGATAACTGTGCAAAAGGACTGTCACAATTCATGAATTGAATCTTACATGAATTGAATTTTGAAATCAAATATTTAATGAAATGAGTGTTTTTCATTGACTTTGGGTTTTGAACTCAAGATATGAGAATCAAATATTCGGGCTAGATTTCTCACGGACGGTCTAGAATGTTTTAGAGAAATTGGTGTGTTTTACTCTGGTAACATTTTCAAGGTTGGGTTTTTGACTTATTTCATACACTGGCAATAAGGAATATATCCAAGCCAGACAGGACAGACCCAAGACTATTATACATTTTATTTGACACTCATATATAGTTATTGTCGTGATAAATTAACACTGTCAACATGGTCAAAACATCTCAAATATATATTTTGTTCCCATTTCCCTGGATATATTGAATAATACGTCAGCTGACAACTTGTTATCATATTTGTTACCCAATATGGTTTAAACAGTATTTATTCAAAATAGAGACAATACACTAGAAAGACAATACAGAGCTGAACAAAAAGGATTTGGCAAACACGCCGAACAAGACCTATATTACTGCCTCTCCCATTACACCCAATATGTGTCAGCAGTGTTGCAGGAGAGCCTTCAAGATGACCTCCCTGGAAGGGATGGCCCGTCAGCAACAAAAGAAATTATCCAGAGAATCAATGTTATTTGCTGAATGACACCAGCACAAAAATCAGTGTCATCATTATTGCCCACAAGTATGGCTTTGAACCTCCTTCAGCCTGTTCAACGCCCACATATTCCCCTGATCTGGTTCCTGACAACTTTATTGTATTCCAAAACACGAAGGCAAATGTAGTTGCTGACACTTTCGACTGGGAAAACAATCCCTTTTGCATAATTGGCAACAGTGTACCAAAGTGGTTGAAAAATACATCATTTAGGCCTTATATAAAAAAAATGCCATTCCGATTATTGTAACCCTCTGTGTCCAATGCTAAAGGAGCATCTCATTTGCTCTTTTATCAACTGCGGTGAAACTTGTATTACCACACTTTTGTCTGTGTCCATGTGAATTTTGCTAGCACCATGCATCGTTGTGGGTAATTCAGTTAAGAGGTGAGTATTTAGAAATGTTATATGTACAAAACAAATTGCGAAATCATAAAATACAAATTTGAAATTATAAAATAATGTTTTTCATCAAGTTAAACATATTGTTCTGTCAATTGAGAATTTAAAACACAATACAAATAAAACATTCACCTCTCTCTTAATTATGTCAATATTTTTCTTAAAAATGCTTTTCATTTTCCAGAAGATACAGTACATGTCTGAAAATGATATGTCACATGATATAAGGGTGAGGCAGAGCACAGCATTAAAATGATTAAGTTTTATAATGTTTTTTGCCTTATTGGGATTATAATATAATTCTGAATTGTTATTTTTTTTTTATGAACTACAAACCTACTTCTAAAACTGGTGTAACTGGAACCATAACATTCTTTCTGTGTGGCCTTAATGACTCTGGGTTTTAATCTTTCTTTGTGAAGCTCAGATAATGTAATTCATCCTGGAGTGTGGTGTGCCAAATTCTGTATATTTTGGAGGGTTAGTTATAACTGGAGATAAACATACTGGGTTTATTACAACATGGACCATAATAAATGTAACGTTTGAGATGCTAAATTGATGGGCATCTCCTAAATTAATTCTGTCATTGACTCATAATGGCTGCACAGGTTGGGAACCCAATCAATAATTTGAAACATTAGATCTATCTTCCTTGTTGCATTTCTCAGTTTTCAAATCATAAACAAATTTGAATAGGTCCTGGACCACACTGCCTGCTATCAAACAAATGAATATCACAGGTCCCTTTAAAGCAGGACAATGTCTACACCAGATCATTTAGGGTGGGTCCAGTATTTGATAACTGTAACTTCCCTGCTTCAGGGCATCCCTGGCCAGCAGGTTGGAGCTGATTGTGACCCTAACACCATTCACCAATTTTCAGTGACTCTCAGTAAAGGCAGGTTATAAACGATTTTAACCTTTCACATTTTAACATCTAGTGAAAGAATTTTTTGTTTGGTCTCAGCTTAGCACTGTCCTACTTTTCCGCCAATCACTGGCATGGGTGAAACCACACCCCCATCTGAAGGGGATTACCTAGGTCAGAGCTACTATAAATATATCGTACTATAATCCCAAAATTGAGGAACCTCTAGATCTATACCCCATTTATGAGGCAAGGCAACTCTCACAAGATCTTTGCAAGATATATACGATCAATATTAATATCATAAATAAATAATGTGGTTCAAATCGATACTGTAATTAACAATGCATGCAATAATTCAGTCAAAGCAAGAAATCTTAAAAGCCATGCAAAAGGTACTATCACAGATCAGCTGAGAAAATGACATTGAGAGGATAATGGGGTCAATCGTGTCAAGGCGAGACAGTAACGTCCTTTCTAAACACGCACATAATATCATGGAATATCAACTTACTTTTGAACCACTGATGGTGCCACCTTTTTGGCAACTCGAAGCGAAAGATTCACAGCCATTTTCAGTAGATTAATTAGCCAAATATCGGCGTTACCGGCGAAATGTACTGCTGCTATGGTGTCAGCGCCATCTACCGACAGCAAGTGCTCGAAGGGCAGGTAACTTAGGGAAGCGTATTTACCCGTAAAATCAAAAAAAAAAAAAGAAAGAGAAAAGATTTTCAATATTGATATATGCAAAATACAATTTACGAGTTTGTTTCGGTTAGTTAATGGTAAATGCAAAACTAAGAAACAGACAGATGGAATAAGTTGAATAAGATTGCCAACATAATGAAAATAGAAAACCTCACATTCACTGAACGTGAAACTTTCGGTCAACACCCTTAACTATCGCCCTACTTCTAGACATCAGTGAATACAGAGATATAGAGTTGCTGTTGACTTGCTCTCGTTAACAGATAATGCGACACCAAATCTGAAGTTCAAGACCGGGTACGAAATGTGAACCAATGTCACTGGGTGTCACAAGGCAAATATAAAATGTGGGTTAAAACGAGCAGCGGGTACAACGAGGTCGGAACACCTGAATAAAGCACAAATGGTAATTTCGATACGGTTTTGTACTCGTGTCGTTTGAATGGCGTTATGCATTCGCCAATGTAACACAATATGAGTGGGTGTGAAAGTTTGACTGCGGAAAATTGAATAAAAGCTTCAGTGTGGTAAGGGACCGTTCGTAATTTATGGCTAGGGGGTGGGGTTGTGTCGGGGTGGGGTGGTGATATGATAATTGGGGGCATTTTGTTCTGGGGAGGTGGGGGCATCAATTTCTATTGTATTAAAAGATTATGCTAAACGTGTGTGTGTGTGTGTGTGAAGTTTTGTCATTGTGTCATTGACACATGCTTTGTACATAACATTTAGGGGGTACATTCACATAGTACATGCTTCTCCATAAAAATCATCATGAAAGCCATAAATTATGAACGGTCCCTAACATCAATACGGTTCTCATGATATATTGTTTAACTGCCGTTATGCATTTGTCATTGGAATGGAAAAGTAACCCTCGATGAAAATATGCATGGCATCTCTGACATCATTACACCGACGCATTCTCCTAAATCTTCTCCAAAATGTCTCAACTTAATTTTCTGATTAATTCCCGCATGCCTGCCACATATTGTAACGTCTTTTGGTATGCATGCAATCGTGGGTTGAACCATCGACGTTCGTGTCTCACGGCATAATCTGTCCTCCATAGCACGCAGGCAGTGAAAATGTCTTCAAATAGGATCAGTAGACATAAAATAATATTCAACAAACGTCCAGCTAAGCCAGAGTCTGTCACACTGTCCCTGAACCACGTTATTTTCCCTACAGCCTAGCCCTCTCCTGCAATGCTGAAGCCGTAAATGAAACAAGTCCAGATTTCTCCAGATCGACCATGAATCTCCCAACTCACTGGGTCTCTTTTCAATTTAAAGGTGTATATTTGTTACTATCAAAATTATATATATTCTAGGATACGTTGTGTGAAGAACGATCTCTCCTCCACAGCATCAGGCACTAAACATCTCTACCAATAAGATCTCCTGTATATGTTCATATTCAGCAGACGTCTGGCAAGGCCACAACTGAATCCGTTGGTTGACAGCACGTGCAACTATCCTCTCTGGGGGTCGGGATACGACGCCTCACAATATTAACAGCAGCAGCAGTAACAACAACTACAACATCCCCACCACCGCTAATAATAATCATCATCATCAACATCAACATCATCATCATAAAGCAGCGGGGGCGGTGGGGTAGCCTAGTGGTTAAAGCGTTGGCTCGTCACGCCGAAGACCCGGGTTCGAATCCCCACATGGGTACAATGATGAAGCCCATTTTGGTGTCCCCGCCGTGATGTTGCTGGAATATTGCTAAAAGCGGCGTAAAACCAAACGCAGTCAGTCAGTCAGTCATAATGCAGCGACAACAACGAACGACAACATCATCACCACCACCAATAATAATGATAATCATATATAGCAGCGACATGAACGTCAACAGCATCGCCATCACCAATAACAAAAATCAGTAAAGCAGCTCCTTGGGTGATATTTTCATGTTTCCTCGAATGACCGATTACCCTGCATGGCAGCTGAAATCTGAGGAAGAGATTACTGTTGACTGGAGAAGTGTGACTGTTGTTTCCGTGTTTCCGTGTTCCCGTGAACTGATGTAGACACACTTCCAACTACAGCCCATCTGTAACCCCATTCTTCCCCTGAATGTGATGTAGATATGAGTTTAGATGGTGATATAAAGAACAACCCATATTGACAAAGGTTCTGTCGGGAATTAATTTGTATAACACGGAAGCTTATAGTACGTTTGCATCCGACTTGACTCCAATATGAACACTTTTCCTACAAATATTGACACGGGTTCCGTCGAGTATTAATACGGAAGCGTATTGTACGTTTGGATCAGATTTGACTTCAAAATGACCATTTTTCCTGCCACAAAAAAACCAAAAACGTCTGCATGAAACGAAAACAAATGTCCAGCGAATAGTTTCGCCTTGGTAAGGAAGGTCTAATGAAACACGGCAGGCAGGTGTTTTCAGGTACACGTCTTGACACCCGGTGTCTCATTGTTTGTGTATGTAGCTTTGTATACAATGTAACGCTAATCATCAGTGATTTCTGTAAATGTTTGATTCAGAGATTGTCTTGTATTGATAAGTTATATCGACTTTTGAATTTACGTCTTTGGTAAAATTAATTTTCAAGCCTATCCGTGTCGTCGTTTTCATATTCGGGATGGTGTTTGGGGCCGTTCCCGCCAGTGAAACAAATTTCCGTTTTAGCCAGCACCCTTATCAGACACGTGAATGTACACGCGGCCCTTATTACCATTTCTATGAGGTGAGGTGAGGTGAGGTGAGGTGAAAGTGGGTTTAACGTCGTGCTTGAGAATATTTCGCTCATATGACGACGTGCATGCGTGTGTAAGTGTATGTGCGGCTGCTTGTACTAGCCCAGACTAAAGCTGGTTTTATAGTGCTAGCCCACCGAGATACCATGCCGCAGTGAAGCATGAATACCCCACTCAGACCCATTATACTGACTCCGAGCCGACCAGTCCTTGTTGCAGCCATTAATGCCGAGCGCCAGGCAGGGACCAACAAGTACCATATTTTAACGTCTTTTGGTATGACGCGGTCGGGTATCGAACCCGCGACCTTCCGCTCTCCGGGCGGACGCTCAAACCACTACACCACGGAGGCGGTATACCATTTCTATGAGAGCAGTATACCCAGTGGAGACAAAAATATTACCTTGGCTGTATAGCTAGTTATTAAAGGTCTTGCTTCAAGAGCAGATACGGTATGTCGATTCTGTGAATGAGTGAGTGTGATTTGAGTCCACTCTCACTCCATAATATTTTAAGCTCTAAACATCCACGTGTTATATTCATTACTGCTTTATTCATACACCAAATATTCTCTTTCAGATATATTAACTGGTTAATGTGAATGGCCACTGTCCATCTATATCTTATATTATGTAACTGTATTATGGGCAGTTAGGCCGACATTACAAAATCAAATCTGTCTGTCGATTTGTCTGTCTGTCTGAGTTTGATTTTACGCCGTGGTGTGTCGGCTTGATGTTGGAGCAAAGTAATGCGGACACTCTTTGCTTGCTGTCAAATTTACAAACATTTTAAGTTGAATTTTAAATTAAAACTCATGATTATACATTTTACAGTGAGTGGCTGAATATGGTTTTACGCCGCTTTTAGCAATATTCCGGCAATATCACGGCGGGGGACACCAGAAATGGGCTTCACACATTGTACCCATGTGGAGAATCAAACCCAGGTCTTCGGCGTGTCGAGCGAACACTTTAACCACAAGGCTATACCCACAGTCCAGCAGGTATAGAAATCCGTATGTGTAGAGACAAATACAACGGCTTCGAAGAAATCGACCATTTCCGAGAAGGACCTCAATTGACATTTTGATCCACGCCCCTCTCAACCAAAGCAGATCGCACTCGCTGGTGTGGGGCCTGCAATACATGTGTTCATTCGTAACTACTCGTGTCATTCCGGCAAGCCGCATGACATGTGTTGTTTGGTCGGAAGGGGGATAACTCTGATCAAACTCGCTTTACATGAATTTCTTAAAAGAAGATGATTACTCTAAAACGGGAGGTCGGTTACTTCACCAAACACAGGCATGTGCGTCCGCATCTCACGGTACAGCCATTAAAATGATTATTTTCGAATTTATTTCCAGTTTCACGTTTTCATGTATTCCAATGACGCCATGATATCTATCGTTACGTCATAGTTCAAAGTGTCATTCTTTTGCTTGCTCGCTAGCGCGAAATCAACCCTCGTGTTTCCAGACGTTTTAATCGGTAAACCACTCCACACACAAGATGGAATCTTTCAGGTGAGCTCTAAAATACATTGTTTTCATTGCGGATGTTCTGTAGTCGTATTAACTGTAACAAATACTGACATGTTAGACGAGGACTGTCTGAAACTACGAAGCATCGTTTCCAGACTCAAAATTCAAATGATGAAATGGCTTCAACAAAGGCCCCTCAAAAACGAGCTTAGCGCTAACACTATTGAGTCAGTGAGTATGGTTTTACGCCGCTTTTACCAATATTACATCAATATCACGACGGGTTACACCACAAATGGGCTTCACAAATTCTACCAATGTGGGGAATCAAACCATGCAGTGTCTTCGGCGTGATGAGCGAACCCTTTCACAACTAGGCTACCCCAGGGGCGGATACAGCTTTTTGAGAAAGGAGGGGTGCACACTATTCAGAAAAAGAGGGTGCACACTTCATTTTCAGAGTTTCAATGGTCATTTAATCAAATTTCAGGCCAAAAGAGAGGTGCGCACCCCAGCAAAACAACACCACACACACACACACACACACACACACCACACACACACACACACACACACACACACACACACACACACACACACACCACCACACGCCTATGTACCCCCACCGACCCTTAACGCTGGTGGTACAGTGGGGAATCAAGGAAACTCATAAAAGGGAAATGGACTCATTGTACGTAAAAAGTGACTTGGTCGAGGCTGCAGTATATACATGTCAGGTGAAAACAGTCTGGATTTGGGTTGCTCTCTGGATCCGCCAGGGACGTACAACCCAATGGTGGGGTTTTCATTTCGTGTCAGACACCTTTTTAGCTTTAAATGAACACACATCGGCGTCATAACATATTTTTATGCTATACTGTGCAGAGGTACAGATAAGCTGCGTATCTCCGTAAATTATGCAAATATTTATGTGAAAACTCAATTCCTATTAAGTTTATTGCGTCCAAGTACGCTTGACTTTTTGTAAATACATATACTCAATAAATGTGATCTTACATGCGTACAAACAAAAATGTCAAATCTTAGCTTGAGTACCGGTGGATAGATAAAATAACTGAGTTATATTGATTGAGAGGTTCTATTTCAGGACTTGAACTTGGCAACTTGCAGTCTTTCTTATCGTTTCTCATATTGCAGATCAAATATAAATAACAAACACTAACATTTAAACTTTATTATATTTTAAAAATGAATGGAAAATGGCAAAAAAACCCAATTGAGTTTGAGTGAGGTGAGTACAATTTTCAAATGAAAATTAGGATATCCAATTGAGATGAACACACGCGAGTACATCACTCAATTACCCAAAAAGTTATCTGTAGCTCTGACTGTATCATGTGTATGGTCTTGTGTAATTACAAAACCACCCGATACATCGTGTAGTAATGATCAGTCCAGTCTCTGTTTTATGATTAAGGTGTGATGGTATGACCAACACTGTGACCTGGCATGACATGGTATGACACACTCAATGACATGTTTGATCTGTAGGTTATCAATTATGTGTAGCGTAAAGCAAACAAAACGATTGACCTGCTTGATGAAAAATCAAAGCAAACCATGCATTGACTTCTTATAACTGAAACTATTTGTTTAAACAGTTGGACATCCAGGAATTCAGGCACACGTCCACACACAGATGCTATAACGAATTCCAAAGACTACCACTACATCATGTCTACAAAGGCATCTGACATAGGTTCCTCCCCGTTGTCATCCAAAGGTTGTCCTCGGAGACCTGAAGGTCCTGCCAAGAAGCCATTCCGGGTAGATAACTCCATCAAAGCAAAGGGCTACCTCTATATTATGGACGCCTCGGCTTCAGACGTGTCGTCATCTCCATCTCGCAAGGCTTCTAATGAATGTGTCAGAGTGTCGCCCCTAGCAGCTGTCAAATGAGTCCTCGTGAATTCGTAAGTGGATCAGACAATGTTAAGACAGAACCTCCAAGGACACAACATCCAGAGAACTTGAAGAAGCCAGATGACCGTAGCTACACTTCGCCTACGTCAGCTTCTGACATACTGCCATCTACATCCCTATATCCGGTCTCTCATTCCCTCCTACCATTCTGTCTGGTCGTCTGAGGTGCTGGACAGCATCTCTTCTGACTCGGAGAGTGTATTCGACTCAATCGTGGAGGACCACCTTCAGCCCAGACCTTCCCCCAGGGAGCCATCTGTAGATGCACAATTCCCGGTAGCTAAAACAATCTCTGAGATCTCCCTGGCCAACAGGAGTGATGAGTCGTGGTTCACAGGATCCAGGGAGTCGAACAGGAGCTCCGCACACGCAAACTTCTACTGGACCAGAGCTGAGTCAATCACAGACAGCAGATCATGTCGGACTGGGTGTCGTCTGTTCACGTCTGGGAGGAGGATGGTAAGTGTTTACAACAGTAAGAGGAACGACATCAGATAAGTTAGCCGTTTACCTGGTGATCCATCTGTGGAGGCCCAATTCCCAGTCCCTGAAACAGTCTCCGAGATCTCCCTGGCCAACAGGAGTGATGAGTCGTGGTTTCCAGGTTCCAGGGAGTCGAACAGCTTCCACCAGGAAGAGCTACATCTATGGAAGGTGATGATGGATCAGGCCTGGGTATATGGCAGGCAGCAGTCCATGTCGGACTGGGTGGCCTATGTTCACGTCAGGGATGATGATGGTAAGTAATTACATCATTAACATCAGTGAACATAGATATTTTTCTGGGTTACATCTTTTTATTCTTGAGTACAACGTTTCAGGGCTTGTTCTGGCGCCATCATGTTTTACCTGATGATGGGGCCAGAACAAACGTACTCAAGAATAAAAAGATGTAACCCAGAAAAATCTCTATGTTCATCAAATAGCATCTTCTAAACTGCCAATCAAGCAACTAACATCAGTGGTTGGAACATCATCATATTAGTAGCATACATGAGTGAGTGAGCATACATGAGTGAGCAGGACTCCAGATAAGGGCCGTATCAGCGTATGTAGAGATAAAAAATATGCACGATACGGTAGGAAATATTTTAGAAAACGTAGCAGATACGCACCACAGCAATGGTGTACGGTCTTAGAAATCATTTGCAGACGTATATATCTGAAAGAGTATTGTTTTATTGTTTATTGACCTGTTTACACAAGAGTAGCAATGTTGTGGTGCATATATGAAACGAAACACACGATTACTGGGACTCCATTAAATTCCATTCAGTACTCTAAATGTACTCTTACGTTTTTTCAGTACTCCTATATTGAAAAAATAAGGAGTACGTACTCCTGGGCCCAGATTTTCGAAGCTCTCTTAGCGCTGAGATCGTCGTAAGTTAATGTTAATGTATGGCACGTACGACTATCTTAGCGCTAAGAGCGCTTCGAAAATCTAGGCCCTGGTGTTTAAAGATTATCTGGAGCGCTGAGTGAGTGAGCGTACATGAAGTGTTGCGCTGTTTTCATCTAACCCCAAAACCGGTTGCGCCAACTTGTGTTTCACTCTTCTTGAAATCATAATTATAGTGAATCTTAATGAGCGTTAATTGTACAAACATTAGTTTGACTATCACCATGCAGTTTATACAATGTCTTCTCCATATAGCAGACAACCGAGCGGATAACGGGTTGGAATTGGTCTCTAAAGCCTATGCTGGTTTAGACTGACAACTAGTCTCTGAAATGAACGAATGTATAGTTAAAAAATTAAATATAATGAAAAGGAGCCCTGGGGCCTTTTTCATTGCCACATTTTCTAGACTTGCGTGGGCTTTCTTGCTTCAGGGTCTGTATGACAGACTAATGCTGTATGTAAGAGGCGACTTACTAGATAGAGTTTTCAGGGTCGGTGCGAGGTGGATAACTTGGATTCTTGCTCACAGTATCGACCATGGGGTGTGTATGGTTTAGACTCCATTACATACAGACAGCCGTGCAGTGGGAACATTGCAGAATGCAGCGTGCCACAGGCACACGCACACACACTACAAATAGCGCGAAAGTTCTCATCTCTGTGTACGGTAATATTCAATATCTGTGTTTGTTTCTGTTTGAAGGGGCGGTGGGGTAGCCTAGTGGTTAAAGCGTTCGCTCGTCACGCCGAAGACCCGGGTTCGATTCCCCACATGGGTACAATGTGTGAAGCCCATTTCTGGTGTCCCCCGCCGTGATATTGCTGGAATATTGCTAAAAAGCGGCGTGAAACCATACTCACTCACTCACTCAATTGTTTCTGTTTGAAAAGTTGCAATTGGGGTGGATTTCATCCTGACCAGACACAAGAAGCGGTTTCAGGTGAGTGCAGTAATGTCCGTGTTCTTGTCCATGTGGTCAGGTAGTGATGACCAGGGGGGTCCTTTCACGAAGCAACCTTTACTAAGGTTAACCTTAACTCCCATTCTTTAACATTGCACTAAGGTTACCTTAGTGACTTACGATCACCTTAGCGCTTTGTGAAAGGAGGCCCAGCTTCCTTACCCGACCTCTTCAGTACAAAGGAAGGCAAGCAGTTCTGTTGTATACAGATAATGTTTTTCAATGTATACTTTAGGGCAAGTGGTTGAGACACATTTATTTCAGGACACCCAGTAAAGAGGAGAGACGTAATCGTATTTCTTCCAGTTAATCACAGGTGTGGTTATGTTTGATTCATCATGATATTCACTAAACTATTTGTGCAGATCAGGGCCCACTTGCACAAAGCGATCCCAGCGCTACGACTACCTTAAGTCTATGTTGGAGAATGGGAGTTACAATCATTGTATCGCTAAGATCGCTTTGTGCAAGTGGGCACATTGCATGCTCAAAGCGCTGACATATTACCTCTGGTCAACGAGTACAGAACACTCCATGTGGAGAATACAACCGGTTGCCTGTCAGGCGCTCAAGGTTCAAATTCAGACTACCATTGCATCATACCAGGTACCCATTTTTACTGCTGGGTGGACAGAGGCAATTTTGAACAAACTCACTTGCCTAAGGTAAAGCCACATGTATCCAATGTGCTTCATTGTGGGGTAGGACTGAAGTCCTAGAAACTTTCAGGAGTCAAGCTGCCAAACACGGTCACCCATCCGAGGACTGTCCGCGACAAACGTTGCTTAACTTCAACTGATTGTGACCTGATCTCTACGCACAGGACCACACACCGCCACTGGGTTAGAATTGGTATACAGCAATCCATGCTTATCGAGGTGACTAATGGGATGGGTGGTCAGGTTGGCTGACTCGGTCGTCACGTGTCATCGTTTCCCACTAAAGGTCACACTGTCAGTGAGTAGAGCAGGGTGTTCCTAGTCAGGGTTAGTTTCTCCACAACCTTTTTCTTTTCATGGCGCGAAAATGTAAAACTACAAATTCTGAATACTGAATGTTCTTGCAGCAGCTTGTCATTCAGCTTGGTGTAAATGATCGAATTAATAGGGCAGAAACGGTGTGAGTATTATAGAGCTATTCAGTCTTTGTTTCCCCGAACATGTTGTGTGAACCGGTCGGTGTGCAGGTGTTAATGTCAGGCCCAGAGACAATGCAGGTGTCACGGTCAGGTCCAGACACAGTGCAGGTGTTAATGTCAGGTCCAGACACAATGCAGGTGTCACGGTCAGGTCCAGACACAATACAGGTGTCACGGTCAGGTCCAGAGACAATGCAGGTGTCACGGTCAGGTCCAGACACAATACAGGTGTCACGGTCAGGTCCAGACACAATACAGGTGTCACGGTCAGGTCCAGAGACAATGCAGGTGTCACGGTCAGGCCCAGACACAATGCAGGTGTCACGGTCAGGTCCAGAGACAATGCAGGTGTTAATGTCAGGCCCAGAGACAATGCAGGTGTTACGGTCAGGTCCAGACACAAAACAGGTGTCGCGGTCAGGTCCAGAGACAATGCAGGTGTTAATGTCAGGCCCAGAGACAATGCAGGTGTCACGGTCAGGTCCAGACACAATGCAGGTGTCACCGTCAGGTCCAGACACAATACAGGTGTCACGGTCAGGTCCAGACACAATACAGGTGTCACGGTCAGGCCCAGACACAGTGCAGGTGTTAATGTCAGGCCCAGAGACAATGCAGGTGTCACGGTCAGGTCCAGAGACAATGCAGGTGTCACGGTCAGGTCCAGAGACAATGCAGGTGTCACGGTCAGGTCCAGAAACAATGCAGGTGTCACGGTCAGGTCCAGACACAATGCAGGTGTCACGGTCAGGTCCAGACACAGTGCAGGTGTCACAGTCAGGTCCAGACACAGTGCAGGTGTCACAGTCAGGTCCAGACACAGTGCAGGTGTCACGGTCAGGTCCAGACACAATGCAGGTGTCACGGTCAGGTCCAGAGACAATGCAGGTGTCACAGTCAGGTCCAGACACAATGCAGGTGTCACGGTCAGGCCAAGACACAATGCAGGTGTCACGGTCAGGTCCAGACACAATGCAGGTGTCACAGTCAGGTCCAGACACAGTGCAGGTGTCACAGTCAAGTCCAGACACAGTGCAGGTGTCACGGTCAGGTCCAGACACAATGCAGGTGTCACGGTCAGGTCCAGAGACAATGCAGGTGTCACAGTCAGGTCCAGACACAATGCAGGTGTCACGGTCAAGCCCAGACATTCACCGGTCGGTGTAAGGCCAAGCCACAGTGCTGGTGTTATTGTAAGGCCCAGACACAATGCAGGTGTTATTGTAAGGCCCAGACACAGTGCAGGTGTCACAGTCAGGCCCAGACACAATGCATCCTGTATACTACATACTTGGAGATCTTAATGGATGTACCCTGAAGTGTGTGCTCCCCACCTACAATCAGTATGTAACATGTTGTACACGGAAAGACAATGTCCTTGACTTGTGTTATGGTAACATCAAGAACGCCTACTATAGTAAACCACCACTAGGAGCTTCGGACAATAATCCTGTGTATTTGCTGCCCACGTACCGTCAAAAGTTAAAAACAGAGAAGGCTATTGTTAAGACTGTCAAATCATGGAACAGAGAATCTATTGAAACCCTACAAGGATGTTTTGCGTGTACAGATTGGGACATGTTCTATGATGCAGAACAAACATTAGAAGGAATGTGTGACGTCATTACTGATTATATAAATTTTTGTGTCAACAAGATAATACCAGAAAATGAAATCAGAATTTTTGCTTTACCAATCTTGTGTAGAAAAACAATTTTTATGTTTTCAATTTGATTGTGACAGGTACGCGAGATTTTGAACAGACGCGTTACCAGGCAACCTAGAATTAATCGACACGTAACCTTACGTAGTTCATACAGCCTGGAAAGTGCTGATTACAGTTGACACCTGTCTAAACGAACCCAGAAACGATTTTGCCAAACAAATACGTCACCAACAGATACGTTACTCGTTGTCTGTATACGTACAAATTTTTAATTTCCCGCTAAAATTACAATTAAATCGCGCGTTATTTCAGTTGACACGTTACAAGCTAAAAAACTACACAGGAAGAAGATTTTTAAAGCTTATCAAAATATTTTGGGGGGACTTTGATGAAAACAGGTAATTAACAACATATGATGGCCATCGCAGTTCGTTTCTGGCTTACTGGGTGCTCTTTGACTTGTAGTTTAGCATGGAAGTTTGCAGGTTAAATAGAAATGATATAAATTATCTTTTCTGATTATTCTGTTAGTAAGGTATCTGATTTTCCAATAACGTATCTGTTTATTAAGCTCATATCTAAATCACGTTTTTCTGTGCATCAATATCAAAAGAGAAAGGTATATGGTTGAGGAAATTAACAAACAAGCAAGTCTAAAGCAACATCCAAATAATTTATCAAAATATTCCCGATAAGCCTTGTGATTGTTAGACAAAACCTGTCATCTGCAATGGTAACGCACAAAACCAAGATGAGGTTCTCATGGCTTTGGTGAAAAAGGATCTGAAAATGAGAATCTTGCAGTTCCTAGAGCCATCACTCGATGCTCACAGTTCTTTAAATCCAAGACAGGTACCAGATGCATGTCATTCATTACTGCAGTGCATGATGACTAGTGGTACGTGGTACAAGTTCTGGAAGTGAATGAAGTGGATTTAGAAGCGTTTACTTCCTCCATTGCCAGTCCACCAACGAAAGGTCAGAAACAATTCAAATGGCCCGATCAACCTGGTGAGATTTTTGTTCCATTTCAGGACATTCTCTGTTAAGTGGAACCCACTCCAGAAGGTCCTAAACGTTATCCACCGAAAGTTCAAGATAACTTTGCCAAGTCCTTTTAGTAACAAACATGAAGCTTGTCCAGTAGTTTTAAGGTAAATTTAAATTTAAATTGTTAATTCTAAAATTGTTATGCTAGCTCCTTGCAGCTGTTTTAGTTTGTCGTGATTTGTGTTACAGCGGGACTGAAATCTTGACTGTATTTGGAACAGATTCGTTACTGCACATTTGTCCTGAGCGAAATGAGACACATAATAATTTGTGATAAAATATTATTTTTTCAGTTTCTTGACAACACCATTTAGTGTAACAATGGTTGATTTGCTGCAGGATTCATGCCTGGGGATGGAACTGTATACCAAATGACATACTTGTATGATTTTATACTACATGCATTAGACAATGGCAAAGAAGTCAGGGCAGTTTTCTGTGACATAAGCAAGGCTTTTGATAAGCTTTGGCATAAGGGAATCATAGCGAAATTAGAAGCTTATGGTATTAAGGATAAGTTACTTGATTGGTTTTCCAGTTATCTTGACAACAGATTACAGAGAGTAGCTATAGACAATTACAATTCAGATCTAAAGAAAGTCACTGCTGGGGTGACACAAGGATCTGTCCTTGGGCCATTACTGTTTTTAGTTTACATAAATGATATCATTGAGGGTATCAGTAGTAACATTCGTCTTTTTGCCGATGATACTTCGGTATATGTTATTGTTGATAATCATGTTGTTACTGCCGCTTCCTTAAATAATGACCTAAACAGGATCTCTCACTGGGCTGAACTATGGCAGGTTAGCTTTAATCCTGGTAAGACTGGTGTTTTATTCACTCGCAGAAATACCGGTAATCAATTTCCAATTCCTAAGCTTAAAATGCATGGAGTAGACATTACTGAAGTCGGCAACCATAAACACCTAGGAGTAACCTTGCAATCAGACTGTAAATGGAACTCCCACATTGGTGAATTAGTTAAAAAGGTTCGTCCATTGGTAAATTGTCTACGTGGTTTTAAATATAGATTATCTAGAAAATCATTAGAGCAAATGTACAAGTCATATATATTACCAACGTTCGATTACTGTTCGCACCTTTGGGATAACTGTACTAAAGAACAAGAAAAACTTGTCGAAAATCTACATTTAGACGCACTGCGGGCGATTTGCGGGGCAGTTAGAGGAACAAGTCATGATTTAAAATATAAGGAAACTAACTCTATGCCCCTAGTTGACCGTAGACAAATAAGCCAGTTATCATTATTTTACAAAATGGTTCATCATATGACATTAGTTTATTTAACTGATCTACTGCCCGAAAAAGTATCACAGTTAAGTGACCATAGATTAAGAAACAGTAAAAACATTCAAACTATAAGATGTCGTAGTGATTTGTATAGCAACTCGTTTTTACCTGATACAATACGACAATGGAATGATTTGCCTGAGAATAGGTACGATACTGAAACCATAGGCCAATTCAAAAATGCATTCCAATCATCAAAACCACCCAATTTTAATATATTTGATAAAAACTTTGGTACACGTTTCTGCCAAATTATCCACTCACGCCTCAGACTTGGGGGGCAGTAATTTGAAAGCGCACGTTTGAACAGCACATTTCAGTTGATCCACTCTGTTCCTGTGGTCACCCCTATGAGGATACTTTACATTACTTCTTTACTTGTCCTAATTATTCTAACATCAGACATCGCATGTATTTTTACGAACATGGATATAATTTAAATTCTGTCCTAAATGGTAATCCAAACAAAAATGTACTTGTAAATTCTTTCATACTACAATCTGTCCATACTTTTATAATAAAATCGCATAGGTTTGATAAATGATTAATAATGTTTAATACGCAGGTTGCTTGCTTTCCTATCATGCTGCATATTATTTAATATTTGTTTTATTCATGTATCAATGAAATGGAGAGGTATTCAAATAAGCCATTACGGCTTGTTAACCAATCCTAGTTCAATTTATTTTGAATAAAATATGTTTACACTATTTGCTGCCAAACGAGTAACAGATGCATTACACTGGAAGCTGAATTTCTTCAGCGAAAATATCCTCAAGTCCTCAGTTGGTCTGAAAACATTGACTGCTATGTTAAGTGAAGAGATAGTGACTGCTATGTTAACTGAGAACTTTTCTTGACACATCGTGGAAAATAAATGTTTGTTTTCTTCAAATACAGACTGTTGATCTTGCTTTGAAAATTTGACAGATACGTTACTTTCTGCAACTCTATCAAGAAACATAATTCTTTCGTCACTGGCGACATATGTTTTTATTATTATACCTTATAAAGTTTGAGAATATAGAAAACAGCTTTCTCTAGAATAACAAATAACTAGCTAGTGTACCCTTACCACTTAAAAACCAGCTCATATGCATTTGGATGGGAAAGTATTTGGAACAATATCAAGAAATAATAAAATAGAATATGTTGTAACACTAAAGTTAAAAAACTGTCAATTAATGCATGTTTCTTCTCCAAAATACTTTGATACTCAGGCTTTAAAATCAATACATTAAAAATTGCAGGAAAAATGTAATTACGTGAAAACTTCACCCCAAACTGGCATTCTTGAGGTAACGTATGTCACGTGACAAAATCTTTGGTCTGTTTTTGAGAGTCTGTATCAAAATATCCCTGCGGAAGGGAAGCCGTTTTAACATCATATCTAGGCACTATCCAATTTTGATTTAATACATAGTATGAAAGGAAAAAATAAAGTTCATTTTTGAAAGTTAACAAAAGAGGACTGGCGCCTGTTAGTGGAGAATGACTGAAATATCAATAAAACTACAACAGTGCCATATAGGTGACATTAAATTAAACACTGAATACAGTTCCTAGCCTTAATAATACACCCACAGAACATCTGTTACCAATGTTCATGTAATATAAGTAAAATTAAGTAGTCGGGGACGTTTAGGTTTTCGAATTTTCTAAAACACAAATGCAACCTGCTTGCCAGGTGTGTGTAAAACTTGTACTGTTCTGAGAAAGGGATACAGTTGAACGTGTGTTGTCAGTTTGGTTTGGTTGTTGTTTCATCTATATACCTCGAAAGAGTGAGTGAGTTTAGTTTTACGCCGCGCTCAGCATTATTCCAGCTATATGGCGGCGGTCTGTAAATAATCGAGTCTGGAGGAGACAATCCAGTGGTCAACCATCAGTGAGCATCGATCTGACCGCAATTGGAATCCGATACCACAAGTGTGAAGAACCAAGTCAGAGAGCCTGACCACCCGATCCTGTAAGTCGCCTCGTTGAGCGACATATCGCAGTTGCTGTTGAGACCAATTCTAACCAGCGGATCTTCACGGGTTGTAATCGAGTCTGACCAGAAATCCAGTTATATATGTCATCTAATTGGGAACCGATGACATGTGAAGTCAGCGAAACTGACCACCCGATCCGTTGAGCGACGAAATATCTTTTTGTACACATGGGTTGCTGAAGGGGTGTTGACGGGAAGCACAAATATCTGGACTCTGAGACATGGAAGATTATGTTATCAAGAAGTATTTTAACTGTTCTCACTGATACTTGCTTATTATTATTGTACCTCGTGTAAAATATTGTTAGTCTACCAGAATTAAACTGTTCTTAAATTGTTGTGTGATCTCTGTTATAAAGGGGACAGTATTGTGAATCTACTCCTAACACGTGTAAGATGTTGTCTGTAGTACCTGCTAGCAGAGCGCCTTGTACAGCAGGTAGTACCTCTATTAGGCAGGTTATGTAGTTGTACCTTCAACGAGGCACGTACACTGTGACATTTGTTGTCTGACATACATGCTGGTGCTGCCGGTCGAGCATCCAATACAACACGAGCGTGTATGAACAGGTGGCATTGGCGTACACATCTGATGAGGCAGTTACACGTTGTCTGAAGTCCATGCCGCTGCTGAGAGAGCACACAGTACAATACTGGTCATATCATGTTTATCAAGATCATATTTGTGAAAAATGGGGATCGGAGGACTGAGTGAGTTTAGTTTTACGCCGCTTTTAGTAATATTCAAGCAATATCACGGCGGGCGGCACCAGAAATGGGCTTCACACATTGTTCCCAATATGGGAATATCGAACCCGGGTCTTCGGCGTGACTAGCGAACGCTTTCACCACTAGGCTACCCTACCGCCCAGGGATCGGATGATCCGCTCCCTTAGAGTAGGGCATTGATGGACGCCATTAGTATGCTAGTGTCATGACAGCTGTGGAGAACTTTGGGGATATTCTGGGTGGAGAACTTTGGGGATATTCTGGGTGGAGAACTTTGGGGATATTCTGGGGTTGTACGAGACTGGGATACATTTCTTTATCATAGGCGAAAGTATCAATGAGTGAGTGAGTTTAGTTTTACGCCGTACTAAACAATATTCCAGCTATATGGCGGCGGTCTGTAAATGATCGAGTCTGGACCAGACAATCCAGTGATCAACAGCATGAGCATCGATCTGCGCAATTGGGAAACGATGACGTGTCAACCAAGTCAGCGAGCCTGACCACCCGATCCCGTTAGTCGCCTCTTACAAGCATGGGTTACTGAAGGCTCATTCTAACCCGGACCTTCACGGGTGAAAGTGTCAATGAGGAAGGGGAAGCTTATTAAGGCTGTAACACTATTTGCCGTGTACACTTGTCAGAGGTAGGTCAAGCTAGTCTAAAATGTGACCAGCTAAGCTGACTACGCCTATGGGAACTGCCTGCACTTGTCAAACATATGTCAAACAAGTCGTGACCAGCTAAACAGATTGCTAGTCAGTCATCAGCCTTTAAAATGTTTATTTTTCAGCGTATTTTAACACCTCCGGTGCTCTTGAAACAACACGAGGCGTTGTGGCGTACAAAGAATGGGTTGTTCTCGCAGTACAACTTTGTGAGGGAGGGCGAACGGCTTACACACAGTTGCCAGAGTCCGACAGAGTCTACCAGGGACAGGCGGCCAAGTCATGCTGACAAATTGGGCCAATCCAGCCCATCTGCTGCCAAAGTGTCGGCCTGCCTTAGCTGCATTCTGTCGGACTCGGTAAACTCTACGCCCACCTTTACTGCCTTCCCCGTCTGTCGGACTCGGTAAACTGTTCGCCCACACACACAGTCTTCGTTCACTACTACGACTCGGGTTGTTTGTAGAGGGCCAGAATGAGTACGGTTTTACGCCGCTTTTAGCAATATTCCAGCAACATCACGGCGGGGGACACCACAAACGGGATTCACTAGGCTACCCCACCGCATATACTGTCATTGACGGGGTCTCAACACTATATATACATCAAACACAAGTTAAGCACCCCCATAATTAAGTAGTGACATCACTTCAATCCTTTGAGGAAGTGGTTTGAAAGGATATATTTGCTTGAGTAGATTATCATGAACCTGTTTTAGTAGTGATTAACGGAAAACGCAACCATGTCAGCACGCGAACGCAATAGCGCACGGTTTCCACAAAATGCAGTTTGCACTCGCCCCACAATATCTGTATTTAAGGGACCACCCGTATCAATACTGTCACATGGACCCACTCTCTGGAATCATCTTCCACTGGAGCTAAGGACAATACACAACCTGAAGATTTTCAAATCCAAACTGAAGACATACCTTTTTAAGAAAACATACAGAGCGCCACTGAGCAGTACTTTTGGACTGGAATTGGCGCTATATAAATGTTTTCATGATGATGATGATGATGTGGTCGTCATGGCGCGAATAAAGATAACTGAAGCTCAAAGATGGCGAATTATCGGAATGCATTCAACTGGAATGTCTTTTAGAGCGATTGGACGTCAGCGCTGAACATCCACTACACTGCCATCAATCGGGTGGTCAGATAGTACAGGCAGACAAACCAAGTCAGAGTTCGGCCCAGGTGTGGAAGACCACCAGTGACCTCACAGCGTGAAGACAGTGAGGTGAGGTGAGGTGAAATTGGGTTTAACGTCGTGCTTGAGAATATTTCGCTCATATGACGACGTGCATGCGTGTGTATGTGTATGTGCGGCTGCTTGTACTAGCCCAGACTTAAGCTGGTTTTATAGTGCTAGCCCACTGAGATACCATGCCGCAGTGAAGCATGAATACCCCACTCAGACACATTATACTGACTCCGAGCCGACCAGTCCTTGTTGTACCCATTAATGCCGAGCGCCAGGCAGGGACCAACAAGTACCATATTTTAACGTCTTTTGGTATGACGCGGTCGGGGATCGAACCCGCGACCTTCCGCTCTCCGGGCCGACGCTCTAACCACTACACCAGTGAAGACAGTGCATGCCCTAGTACGACATGTGTGCCGACATCCGTTTGCGTCGAGCAACGAACTGCGACGTCTCTGGTTACCAGGTCGACGGATCTCCATGGGAACTGTGAGGAATCGTTTGAGACATGCTGGTTTGAGGGCAAGGAGAATCATCAGACGTCTGTTAACAGATCGTTATTGGAGGTTACGTTTAGCATGTATCAACCAAGTCAGCGAGCTTGACCACCTGATCCCGTTATTCGCCTCTTAAAACAAGCATGGGTTACTGAAGATCAATTCTAACAGAACCGATTTATGTCACAATTATCACCGCTATTCCCTTTTTAGAAGGGGCGGTGGGGTAGCCTTGTGGTTAAAGAGTCCGCCCGCTCGTCGCGCTCACGGGTCACCAAAAAAGAGGTACAAAGTCCCTTGGTGCCTGTCACATCGACCACCACCAGTGGTAGACCGTTGCTGCAAACCACGAGGTCTGGCGTTACACCACCCACCAGGCTGTCTTATCCTTTGAAGACGCTCGCAGGGCCAGTTTAAAGAAAAAGAGGCAGAGGAGGAAGAACCGCGAAACCTCAGCACCAAACCCAGACCAGATCTTCACCTGCGGCTCCTGCGGTCGTACTTGCCTGTTCGTCATTGGTCTTATCGGCCACGAGCGTGCCTGCGGTCGACGTGGACCACCCCCTTCACAGATCTTCGTTTGCGAAGCAAGGTCGTGATGATGCTGCTTTATATTCTGTGTATGCCTCGAGAAGCTTCATGCTATGCCTACAGAACGGACATGTAGTACCCGCAATCATATGGCAGGCAATATATTTTTTGTGTACAATTTGTGAGAAAGGCTGGTATTTTAAGCCAGGCTAGACAGGCTCACCCTTTTCGTGAACACCTGCTGTCGTTCCTATTTTCTGGTGAAGCATCTATAACTTTCACTGTTTTGCATTTTCCGTCGAAAGAAATGTATGCCACATAATAGAGACTGGTGATTTTCTTGCACTTAAATGGGTGTGCTTTCAAATACAGCAATCCATCTTAGCTCCTTTGCTCATATACTTCCTGTCAAAAGTTTAGACTCACTAGTGTAAATATAGCCACTTATTTCAGGCAACTGTTCTTAACTAAATTTTGCAAAATATTCCATACTGTTTAAAGGTACTGTTTACACATGAACTGATGTATTGTAAAACAAATTCGTAAAGTTGAAAAGATTATTGTCATGAGTTCAATGAATGATAAAATTCAGTGACAATTGTCGAATTCTTAACAAAACCACATCAAAAACGCAGATATTCACATGCACAATATTTGCACATGCTTTTCAGTACAATTTGATGCATGATCCTCGTGCAATTCATCTACATACGGTTTGCAGTTGGTTCCCCCCAAGTTAGTGAAGAAATCAATCTTCAATGTAACTATACATATATATATATATATACATAATTTATAGTGAGTGTTTTAAGTGAGTAAACTTTTGATGGGAAGTATATATAGGTCTTGTATGATATTTGGTTTAGGGCTGGTGTGAAGGGTTAATACCACAGAATGTCCAAAACAGTAGGAAGCCTCATGTGACCCAGGTTAAAAATCTGACGTGATATGCCTGCGTGCACTGGACACTTGCATAGCGCCAGTCAACTGTCGTTTCATGCCCCACCTTCTGCCCCAGGAAGGAGCATTTCTCTCTAACCTTTGGACTTCATGATCTATGTGCATCCCCCCCCTTCTCCCAAATCCTTGATCCACACCTGGGTGGGGTAGCCTAGTGGTTAAAGAGTTTGCTTGTCACATAGAAGACTCTGGTTCGACTGTACACATGGGTACAATGTATGAAGCCCATTTCTGGTGTCCCCACTGCAATATTGCTGGAATGTTCTAAAGGTGGCGTCAAACTACTCTTTCATTCCTTCGTTGTACTCCACAGCATCAACATTTGTTTAGTTTTACAAAGAACCAAAACAATTTTTTTACAGAATTTACATGTAAATTTATTTTCACATGAATGTTGAATTATAGGATACATAAACATTGATAAGGACTCAAACCATCAGAAAGACCATCAGAAAGACAAACTTCTTCCTGAACATCCAGATAGTGTCAACTTGTTCAGTCCTCAGCTTCAGCAGGCGGTCGGTCACTACCTGTTTGTGGTTTGGGGCATGTACCAGTGTTGCTTAGTTACCAGTGTTGCTTAGTTACAGACACAAACCATCATACCTTTGCCATCGGGGAAACAGAAATTAAATAAAACCATCGGAACTGCTTGACGTAATATACCACTCAAAGTTAATGAAGAACCACTCCCATGTATTACGGTAGTAAACCCATTAACTACAGTAATAATAAAAGCTTGGTCTTAACTTTCTTTGAATAGTATACATTAATTAATACACTTTTCATCAATAAAGATGTTGAATAATGATTAAATCAATGTTTTCTCTAAAGTTTTATGTATTCTAGGTGATGTTAAAATCGGAACAATCAAATTGCAATGAATAAAGAGTATCACAAATTTAACCTTGAATCCTTGTATGTACATGAACTGTCGAGCAGTCATACTCTAACATCACATGACTGATCATATTTGAAATAGGTCTGGGTGTTTAACTGAATAGAAACATGATGTAGGTTTTAGTAAATTCCATGGCGATGCTTGCTTCTATCATGGCACTGTCAGTTGGTGCAGCTGTTTCTTTATGACCACTCAGGCACTCGAGTGTCGGAAAATTTGTTAATTTAGTCCTAAAACATTGCAGTTTAAGATTCAGGATTTACTTTCACGCCTCTTCGTATCTGACCCCATCCGATCAATCTGAAAAAGAGAACACAGTTGTTCAAGGAATGCATAAAATGTTCTGGAAAGTTACCATTGTGACCGAGTGATCCAAATTTACACAATTTGAACTTCAACCTTTCAATATCATCTCTTTGCTGTTTAATGCATTGATCACACATTTCAGCAATATGATGAAGATCTTAAAATAATCAAGTCCGAGCTGTACAATCCTGGAATCTGTTTTACAAGCATGATCCAAGCTGTCTGGTTTATGCCTTCAAACAAGTAAATAGACTCTGTTGTTTCATGCTGCACTCAACAATATTGCAGCCATGTGTCTGAACCAGACAACCCAGTGAAAAACATCATGAGCTTCGATCTACTCAATTGGGACATACTTAATGCTTATGACAAGCATAGGTTGCTGAAGATCAATTCTAACCCGTCTACACCCCAATACAGCCCTACCCAGCACACACCATACAATGGGGTAGCCTAGTGATTAAGTGTTCGTTCGTTACGCTGAAGACCCAGGTTCGATTCCCCACATGGGTACAATGTGTAAAGCCCATTTCTGGTGTCCCCTGCCATATTGCTGGAATATTGCTAAGAGCAGTGTAACACTAAACTCACTCACTCTGATTTAATGTAAAGTATCAATGTGCAACACTATACAATACACGTATAATGCAACCAGTCTACCTACCTCCAGTGTTTCTCAACTCTCCTACTCAGGGCAATTTTCTCTCCAATCTCTGTACATACAGGATTGGTCAGGCCGATCTTTGCCAAATCAGCCTTCACAGCCAACACACGACCTCCTGTCGACAGCGAGCCGATGTTCACCATCAAAATCTCATTCTTTGCCAGTCTTTGGACCTGTACAAAACAAATCAATTTTTCATGTGAACTTCAAACTTCATAATTACAGGAATATGAATGTGTAATACTTTATCTTTTATAGCTGAGCAATTTCCTTGCCTGCTTAGAGGTCAATATTCAGCCACAGGTCTTTAGAACTGATGAATTCCTGCTGCTAACTTATCAGCTGCCATATAAAGGTTATTACAATGTACTTATTACAATGTACTTATTATGATAAAGTATATATAACATTAATACAATGCTTAAGACTAATAGACTTAAGCTTGTTAAATTGCTAGTATAAACTCCTTAGAGTTTGTTAGCTAAATTACTTTTAAGATATAAACATAGTACTAAGCTTAAGATATGCTTAAACTTAAGCTAATTATATAATAGCAAAACTCTTTAGAGAGTTTGTTAGCTAATATACTTATATGATATGAGCTTAAGATATGAATAAGCTTTAGCTACATATATAATAGCAAACTCTGTAGAGTTTGTTAGCTAATATATTTTTTTACAATATGAGTATAGTACTGTGCTTAAGATATAATTAACTTAAGCTACATATACAATAGCCAAAACCTCTGTAGAGTTTATTAGCTAATAGACTTATATTGTTACCATAGTATTAAGCTTAAGATATGATTAGACTTAAGCTAAATGTATATAGCAAAAACTCCTTAGAGTTTTTTTAACTAATATACTTTTATGTTAAAAACATAGTACTGAGCTTAAGATATGATTAAACTTAAGCTATATATATAAAAAGCAAAACTCCTCAGAGAGTTTGTTAGCTAATACATTTTATAATGTAACCATACTGCTTAAGATGAACTTAAGCTAAATATATAATAGCAAAAACCTTTTAGAGTTTTGTTAGCTAATAATACTTATATGATATAAATATAGTATTGAGCTTAAGATATGAAGGAAACCTTAAGCTACATATATAATAGCAAAAACTCAGAGAGTTTGTTAGCTAATACATGTTATAATGTAACCATAAAGCTTAAAATATGAGTATGAAACTTAAGCCAAATATATAATAGCAAAACTCTTTTAGAGTTTGATAGCTAATATACCTATATGATATAAACATAGTACTGCGCTTAAGATATGAATAAGCTTAAGTTACATATATAATAGCAAAACTCCGTAGAGTTTGTTAGCTAATACATGTTATAATGTAACCATAATGCTTAAGATATGATGAAACTTTAAGCCAATTAAAAACCTCTTTAGAGTTTGTTAGCTAATATACTTATATGATATAAACATAGTACTGAGCTTAAGATATGAATAAGCTTAAGCTACCTATATAATAGCAAAAAACTCCGTAGAGTTTGTAAGCTAATATAATTTTTACAATATGTGTATAGTACTATGCTTAAGATATAATTAACTTAAGCTACGTATATAATAGCCAAAAACTCTGTAGAGTTTATTAGCTAATGCATTTATAATGCAACCATAGTACTACTTTTTAAGATATGATTAACTTAAAGGTAAATATATAATAACAAACTCTGTAGAGTTGTTAACTTATATTGTATGATGTAATAATCATAGTACTGTGATGATAAAAGAACTTAAGCAAATTATATATAGCATGTAGCTATTTAGTACTGTTATAAGATAAGTAGAAATCTGTAAGATTGACTTATCTTCTCGAGGAACTCGTCAACTGTTGTCGCGAGGACCCTGGAACCCAATTGGTGGATACCTGAGGCGTCCTTGACGGTGATATCTCTCAGATAATGGTTGGCAACCACCATATCGGATCTCCAGAAATAACCCCTCCATAATTTCAAATAACATTTTGTGTAGATCAATTGTAGAAGTTTAGCTCTAATATCATGAGTATTAGAAGCTCATGGAGGGTCGGATCGGGTCCATCAGTCTTGTAGGCACATAGTATGACAGTTCTGATCCAAGGAGATGGTAGTACATGAGACTTCAGTCTGCGTAACTTGAATATAGAGGAAATAATCTGATGCATTTTTCCCTCCTGTTTGGTTCGGTGGAGATAAATTTACAGTGCTCTTGCTGGCCATCATTGATAGAATCATCATTATCATGAAGTCAAGTATGTCATCCAAGCGTGTTCATAAACCTCACTTGTGAGGTGTTGGAGAACACTATATACAGATCGAAGTTGGGCGTGAAACTTCCGTTTTAATCCTCAATCAGAAAGCTTAAGTAGGTTTACTAACCATCTAGTTGTGTTAGTAGTTTGATGATGAAATTCAGTTGTAGACTGAGGCGCTGTGGATTTAGATCCACTTGTATTCCGTCGTCTAGGTAAATCCGCTCGCGAAGTCCTTGACGATGTAGGTGCACAACCAGGTGTGTCTGTCCTCGTTGAACTTTATGTAAAATCAGCCTGACTGCCGTGCCTCGTCCTAACTTGACAGGGGAGGTCTCTAACCTGAAGAAAGCAGCCCAATCATGAAGGTTCAGATTAACTGGACTGTAAGGAGCTTGCTTGCTCGTTCACTGATATATAGTTGTCACTTGTAGCGTGAGTCTTGAACTGTGAACTAAGACCGACCTCTCGTGGAGTCGTTGTCCATCATGGTCCAATCAGAACAAGGCATTTTGATTCTGTAGAATACCAGCTGTGATGTCACCGGTGTAGCAGGAAAAACCTTGTATAAAATCTTGCCGTCGTTTATATTAGCATAATCGTCGGTCTTCACCGTAGCTTTCGAAGTTACCCGAGTGACCACGTGTTTGAGGGTTAATGTAAAGCGAAACCTCCGGTAGCGAAATACCTCGCTCTGTAATATTAATGCTGGGTAGGTTATTTTCCTGGCTGTCGTGAAAGTAACTTCAGTTTTGAATATAATTCCGACTTCCTTATATAAAGGTACAATAAACTTGCAAGTTGTCAGCTTGTAGACTGTATACATGAATGTATCGTCATAATTGTAGAATTAAAGCTGAACTTGTTGTACATATTACTTCTCAGAAGCGTTGGCGATTATGAGTTATACTCGCTGTAACAGGTTGCTGTTCAATTTCGATATTGAATTGTCTGCAGATCTGCGTAATGGTCACGCATGTAGATAATCGTATCGTAGTGTGGGATAGTATATTCTAGCAATCTATACGGAAAGTTGATTTCTGTGAATATCTATGAAACGTCGTTGACTAATTAATATAGCGACGTTCTGTGTTGTAAATAGCCTGTGCAATTGTCTTCGCGTAGGCTTATAGACGGCATATGGCATACAGTTGATAGACTGACTGACTGACTGAGTTTAGTTTTACGCCGCTTTTAGCAATATTCCAGCAATATCACGGCTGGGGACACCAGAAATGGGCTTAACACATTGTGCCCATGTGGGGAATCGAACCCGGGTCTTCGGCGTGACGAGCCAACGCTTTAACCACTAGGCTACCCCACCACCCCAGTTGATAGACACTTTATGCGATGTCTTGAACGGACTGACGAGTAGCTATATATGACGAGTGGCTAGTATATGGAGACCTTGGAGGATACTTCCTCGGTGAACGACGGAGACTTCACGAAGCTCTCGAAGTATCCCTTCTAGATCTTCTGGGTGAAGCAGACTTGGAGCCACTTAGCCTTCGCGACCTTCGCGAAGGTATCGAGTCAGAGCCCGATCAGTATATATATATGTAATTTTTAGAGTAAAAATTGATATTTTATACTTATCCTGACTCATGCTTGCTTCGTGAACGACCTCTGTGTTCAACAGGATGTGGGGTCGGCGAAGCGCTACTCCTCCGTGACGTCCCTTGTAACTGGTGAGGCTCTAGTTCCTTTGAGGCGGCCTGGGACTTCCTTATCGAAGTGTCTAGAGTCCGATCAATATATGAGCGTTAGCTTCATACAGGGTGTGGTTCTTGCTGGTTCTGCATAAGTAGAGCCGAGTAGATCATCCTATCATCTTCAGAAGTCGTGTCCGCGAAATCTGGTGATAAGAATCTCATTGATCGTTCTAGATCTATTAAGGCCAAAGAACATACGCCTCTGGCGTTTGAACTTACATGCCTTTATGGTAGGCTGTGTCCACATTCTGTGGCACCGCGGCAATCGGGTCGATCGGAGGTAGGGTGGTGACGGCGTCTACATCGTCTTCCTTCATCAGGTATGTCTGCGCTGAGTTGCCACTCTTGGGCCGGTGAAGATAAATCTAGGTTGTTTACCATCCAATATCTTATCTCAGCGTCTGAGAAGATGATGTCTCCATCATCTTCTGTACCAGCATCGGTGATGAGAGGTTGATGCTCTTCTGATGGTGACCTGTGTGCTGCTATCTCTATGTCGGGTGACGCTGCCGACTTGTGTGGTGACCTGCGAGGTGATCGACGTGGTGATGTACGTGGAGATCGTCGTGGTGAACGGCGTGGAGATCGTCTAGGTGATCTGCGTCTATGGGATGACCTTGAGTCCGCATCTGAGGATGAGGCCGAGGACGGTGACGATCTCTCCCGTCTTCGCGAAGACTGTACATCTGAGTCCTTCGTCGAGGTGGTCTGTGACTTCCTTCTCGAAGGCTGCTTCGTCGTGGCTGCTACGCTGACTGGGGGTGCCTCTGGGGTGTTGTCTGCGTTGCTCAGGCCCTGGGCTGGCTGCTTCTCCCGTCTGTAGTGGCCCTCCATCATGGTCATGATCTGCCGCAACAGCTCGTCTGGGATGGTCTGCGACGAAGTGGTCGGTGCCCTCTCTGCGATGACAGCTGCTGAGCCCTCAGGGAAGTCGTCTGACATCAGTGTAGAGACATCAGGCTGCATGGCGATCTCTGCTGATGTCACTGGTCGCTTCTTGTGGCGTACGCCGGGGATGATGATCGGTTGATCATCGTAGAGGCCCAGTTCAGCGGCTGGAACAATCTCGGTTGAGAAAGTCCTAGTAGACTTCGTTGATTTCCCCTCAGAGGTCGTGTTGGTAGCGACGGGACCCTCAGGAAGATCATCGAATATCAGCGTTAGAACATCAGGCTGCATGTTGATCTGCGCTGACATCACTGTTGCCGACATCGGTCATTCTTTTGATGTACATCAGGTATGATGATCGGCTGATCATCATACAGGCCCAAATCTCGCGGCAGGGAACAATCTCGGCTGAGAAAGTTCTAGTAGACCCGTTGATTTCCCCTCAGAGGTCGGCGCTGCCCTGGGGTGTGAAGTCTGCGTTGAGATGCAGTAGAAGCCCTCTAGTCTTCGGCTGCGACGATGGGATGTCTGGGGAAGCAGGACGCTTCTAGGAGGCGGCGGACTACGTCCCACGCCTCTCCACCACTCTAGCGGAATACCAGACGGGAGGGGGGTCGACCAACAGCAGTAGACTGGCGAGGGTTCAGGTGTATCAGTCATGGCTAGACTCTGCATCGTGACCTATCTGCTGCTGCGTCTCAAACATAAAGTATTTATTTATTAAAGGCAGAATTGGATAAATTAGTACGCAACTGCCACGTGAATAAAATGAACATGGCGCAGTACAGCTAGGGCATATTAAATGCGGATCAGCAGCAGAATAAAAAGCGTAATCTGCAACAGTACAGAATTTTCATCAGCGTAATCCACAGAACAAACATGGCGTCCCGTGAATAAACAGTAGAAACCGCGACTAAATATCAATATATAATTGTTGAAGGATACTAGCTAAACCTCTATAGATGTCTATACTGAGGTAACTAACTAAATATAATCCAAGGATATAGTGTGTCGGGAGACACAGGCGCTCTCACGTCCAGCTCACTGGGCGAAGAAGGAGAGAGTGAGGCACATGGGTAGAGGTGGCGCCCTCGTTCCCGCGCTTGTGGAAGGGAGGTAACTCGTGGTGTACTAATTAGTGATTTTACATTGAAGGGAGCTTCAATTAGGGAGATACAAGTGTTCCACTATGTTCGCAAGAAGAAGAAGACAAGCAAAAAGAGCATGAGTCAGGATAAGGAAAAATAACATATTTCATATATAAATATATATTGGTATACCTACTGCCAGTCTGTAGATATGAAACAGGACCAATATAAAGGAAGAGACTTTAATGCCATGGTTAAATATTATCCCATCAAATGCCAATTTAAAAAATCAAGAGAATGAAATTAAATAAATACTAGGGACTAAGAGCAGGTGTCGGTCACCTATGTGTCATTGAAATGAAGATGTGAATTACCTCCCTTGGTTGGATACTCAATTTGGTGTTTCTTCTTCGGAGTCACATTTGTCAATATTCAAGCTATATGACTATAATAGAGGCTAAACCAGTGATTGATGTTACGAGCAGCCATCCACTCAAGCAAGTCTGCAGGCCTAACCACCTGATCCATTAAGTAGCCATGACATTGATCCTATGACCATGTGATGCACCACTACTGACCTTGGCGCCTTTCTTGTCTCCCTCTGTCTTGACCCCGAGGAGTCGTCGGAGCAGGAAGAATGAGATTTCCAACTCTGTGTAGATGTCCGGCAGGGCGTCCACTGCTCCAAGCACCTGTCCAACCATGCGGTCAGCTCGACACAAGGTGGGGTCAATCTTGGTACCAACACCTGTAAAGGTAGAAATATGACTGGATTATGAAACTAACCATTCAACCATATTCTCAGAAGATAAGGGAACAGACAGAGGACAGTGAGTGAGTGAGTTTAGTTTTACCCCGCTTTTAGCAATATTCCAGCAATATCATGGTGGGGACACCAGAAATGGGCTTCACACATTGTGGGGAATCGAACCCAGGTCTTTGGATTGACGAGCAAACGCTTTAACCACTAGGCTACCCCACCACCCCAGATAATGGACAAGAATACAGAACAAGACCACCTATTTTGACATAAAACATTAGGCTAAATTGAGCTGAGAATTTTGTTTATTTTATTAATGAAGTTAGTGTGAAGAAAAGTGACCTGTGGCAGAAATGTTCTCATTCAAGATGATAAACAAGGGTTCACATGACCCGGTGTAGCAGCCCAGAATAACCCCCCACCAGATTATACCCCGGGGTAAACTATAGGCTAGCCCAGTTTATACCCCGGGGGTATATTCTGGATCAGGCCAAAGTATACCCCTCCAGCCCAGACTATACCCCTAAAAAATTATGTTGACAATTCACTCAATATGAGTGTGTGACTCAGGGCAATGGTCTTGGCTAGCCCAGTTTAACCCTGGGTATAGTCTGGGACAGGGGTATACTCTGGCCTGTTACACCGGGAAAATCATTCACAGGGGCAAGGGCAACTCTTCACAAAAGGTTATTTTTCACCAGGACAGGGATACCACCTCTTCAAAAGTGTAGGGGTAACTGCTCACCAGTGTGAGGCAAACTAAAGTAAAATTCATTTCAACAGGCAATAATGGCATGACATGAAAATATTTTGACAATTCTGCTACCTTTAAAGGGGCGGTCGGGTAACCTACTGGTTAAAGCGTTCGCTCGTCAGGGTTCGATTCACCACATGGGTACAATGTGTGAAGTCCATTTCTGGTGTGTCCCACCGTGATACTGCTGGGATATTGCTAAAAGCGGCCTAAAAATAAACTCACTTTTTTAAGATCTCGGCCAACTTTATTAACCATCCAAGAATATTCAATCAAGGATTCATATTCTCACCTATAAGCCCACCAGGAACAGCATACTGCAAGTCATTCTGTTCAGCAAACAGAGAAACAATTCGGGACAGGATTGGCCGACACGTCAGTTTCCCCTCCTGGTCACGTGACACGATACCAGGCCGCACCTCAATCTCCTGCCCGACCTGTAGACCAAGACACGACATAAAGAAATGAGCTTGTTCATAGTGCCGACAAAACCTGGAAACATACATTGGATGAATTTCTGATTCAAACCTAAACTCATAGATTTTTGGTACACCTAAGGGACATAACTCTGCACAATGAACTGCAAGCTCCTTATGCTTATTTTGAGATACTTTCACCTGAAAAGGGCCCCTTGACATACATGGAACCTATTCTACCCCAGACAGCTCAAAGTCAAAGTGAGTTTCATCAGGATTAATGGCTGTTATGCACAGCCAATTGTAGGCTTGGTATGGACGTATTTTGCTTTGAGGAAAAGTCATAATATAGGTCGAGGTTTTCTTACCTTGAGAACACCTCTAAGGATACTTCCACCTGCCACGCCTCCCTTGAGATCGTCGACCTCACATCCTGGTTTGTTGACATCAAATGATCTGATAACTGAAAAATAGAAAAGTTTACTTAAAGCAGGTATTGACAATTTTATGATCAAGATGTGCATATTGACTTCTTACATGATCAATGATAAACACTGATAACGATTCGAATCAAAATTGCAAAACAATCAATGATATTATATATAATGCTTTGTTTGGATTTCAACAAACACAGTGAAAAGAGAGACGTCTGTCTCTTTCACCAAGTCTGACAACCTAATTCAGAATCATACGTAATCTGGAATTCCAAACTGTTTTTTATGTACGAAAGATTTTAAAGTTTAAAAGATATTGCAAGGCTCAGGTGTTATGCTTTAGAAACAAGACAGATAGATGGAGCCCATTTCTCTAACCAACAAAAAAATTCACTTTGTTTTTTTTTTAGGTTATTGCAGACATTCATGGGTAACAACATTGCATTTTTCAGTTGCCATGGAAACAGACCTATTAGCCTTGGTTCTGATGTGAAATCTCTGACTGGCACGGGGATACTCTTGACGACATATTCACACACAACGTCTATATTGTACTTGAGCTGAGCCGACACTGGAATAACAGGGGCCCCCTCAGCAACTGTACCTGAAACACAAATAGATGTCAGTTTGTTATGTTGGAGAACATCAGAGCTTTGGTAAACTTCACCTACAAAACTAGGGGTCCCATGAGCCCCTAGTAATGACTAGTGGTGTGATGATTCATCGATACGCATTGATGCATCAATCCATGGGCTGCCGATACACTGAATCGATACAAAGTTTTACATTGTTGTATATCCCGATACGATACTTCAAATGGGCCACGATACATCAATGTTTTACTTTGAATATTGCTGAATCACGATATCTGTCAAGAAAGATTTACTTTTGTTTGATGATTAAAATATATGCATACTTATTTTCCCTTCATAAGTTTCTCGGAAATCCTTGCGTCAAACATAGCGGTCGCATTTTATTAACATTCACAAAGTCTGTGTATAAACTTAATTCTCTCATTTACAAATGAACATTGAAAAACGCTGGCGGAATTTGGCGAAATACTTTAAAATGGTTTTGTTTGATCTTAAGGTGTTTTATAGTTGATGTTAGAATTCAAGATGTTAGTATCATGATACGTATCGTATGGCCACCCTTATATCGGGATTCGTATCGTATCGCAGCTTCAGTGTACAATACTTGGCAATATATCGTCGTGACTAAAATTTTAGTATCATGATGTATCGTATCGCAGGTTGTATGCCAATACCAGCACTAGTAATGACTGACATGATAAGCCATGACACATGCATCTATTATTTCCTCAGGTGGTGTGTGGCAAGGTAGTGTGTGGCATGTTGTGGCAAGGTGGTGTGTGCTATGTTGTGGTTGTATGTGGCGTGTGTCAAGGTGGAGTGATGCATGCAAGTCCAGGTGGTTTGTAGCATGTGGCAAGGTATTGTGTGGCATATGTACTAACGTCAAAATGCGTATCCATGTACCCCCAGTAATGACTGATTGATGGAGTTTAGTTTATGCTGCACTCAGCAATATTACAGCTATATGGAGGCTTCCCCAGTAATGAATTTGAGGCCCACTGCCCCATGTGAAACAGGTGTAGTAGTGAATAAAATCGTTATCAACAATCCACACAAAACAGGAAAACAATGTCACACAGATCAGCGAGTTCATCCAACCAGTCCTCATATTTGTCTTTCTGGTTGCAATGTGTTGAATACCATTAAAAAGTTAAACGGTGATTCTTTGGGACACCTGCACTTTTTGGGTCCCTGCCTTAGGTACTCTAACCCTAACCTAACCCTCGTTAGAGTAAACAAAACTGACGTAAACTTCTGGGGACTCGTAAAGTGCAGTCTACCCGAATCTTTCATAATACTACAGTATTATCTGACATGTAAAGCAGTGACACATACATCTATGTAATATGAAGGAATCTGGTGTCTCTGAGTAGAATAATAATTAGCAGTATAACTAACTTGTAACATGTATAAGCTCACAGTAATTGTGATTCTTTATATGCAGGTCAATTAAGTGAAGTCCCTTGGGCTGACAAATCATACCTGCAGTACTTTCATTAAAGTGTTTAACCCTTGCTGACAAGCATTCTAAAAATGAATTGGTTTAATAAGTGGTATCCATATCTCAAACTAAACCCATGAGGTGTACCTCACCTGGATAAATAGCTCAAAATGCCAACATTGAACAAAAATACTGAAAATTATGGTTATATCAACTCAAAGAGAACTCTAATTTCAGTCTGTTATACCTATTTGGACTAATAAATATAGACAGAGCATCAGACCCCCTACAAAGTTTACTTTCAAAAACATGTCTGTGGACAAGTGATTTCAAACACAAACATGAAAATTCTGGATAATACATGAAGTCTGGCACCACATTTTTACCTTTAACAAAAGCTAGGATCTGTTCATACTGCTCCTTGGCCTGTGTTTCTTTGACCAAGTCTATCTTGTTTTGGAGGATGAGGATGTGTTTCAGTTTCATAATCTCCACAGCTGCCAGATGCTCCGAGGTTTGGGGCTGAGGACAGGACTCGTTCCCAGCTGAAATGTGAAACAACAATAACTGACTGACTGACTGAGTTTGGTTTTACGCCGCTTTTAGCAATATTCCAGCAACATCACGGCGGGGGACACCAGAAATGGGCTTCACACATTGTACCCATGTGGGGATTCGAACCCGGGTCTTCGGCGTGAAGAGCCAACGCTTTAACCATTAGGCTACCCCGCCGCCCCGAAACAACAATAAACAGCAGCTCACATTGGTCAGAGGTCATTTATGGTCCATATCTCCAACAGCACTGAAGAGGACCAAGGCAGACCTTACTTCTAGAGCTAGTGACTAGTCCTGCTCAAACAAACGGAACTGTTGAGTAGTTTACATTTGTCACATATTTATTCAGTTTCAATATGTCCTAAAATAAAAGTGTCGAGAACTTGATTTATAATCCACAAATGCCATGTGTCAGTGAGTACTACCTCCAATGGATTTTACATGTCCTTCGTAGAATTTAGTTGTAGGGCTGTAATGATGAATCGAACTATTGATGGATTGCAATTGTTGAGTCTCTGATAGCAAATATTTGATGGAAGAAATGAAAAACTATTTATGCATCAATAGTATGTGTGACTATCGATAGTTTAGTAATTGACTTCCGTTGATAAATACGCAGGATTTATACAGGATGTGGGTACAGTCTTGCAGCTTCATTGAGTTTATGCTTTAACTGTTAACTTGATCTGGGTTTCAAGTTTCTTGTCAGTTACTAAAAGATACAGAAACTACTTCAACTTGTTTTTATTTCATATAAACTATACATTTGGGAAATGACTTCAGATTAGACAATTCAAGGAGAAACAACACTATTGCAATAGTTGTTTCCCCCTCAATAGTCACCCCTTTTTTGTAGTCTCGGACTAGTTAACTTCTGTGAGTTTTGGAAAGGTTGATGTGGAATGTTTATTTTGGATCTGTTTTATTTGGTTATTTGATACCAAAACACAGTAATACTACAGTCATATTACGGTTGCCTGTTTATAATTAAATCTGAAAGAGGGTCCACATCATCCAGTTATCCAGGGGCGGAAATAACTTTAAAAATGTACTAGTGTACTCCGGATACAGTTGCACATGTAAAATCACTTGCCCTGATAAGTTTTCTATATACCGGCTGTCTTCTGGTTGATTTTTTAAATAAACAACATAATTAACATTGGAAAGTCAAGTGGACACCAGTACAGTGTGATATACAAATTTGCTTGCCCGACAGAAAAAAACACTGGACTCGGACGTCGGGCAATGGGTTATTTCCACCCCTGTTATCGATAACAACTATCTCTGCCATCAGGGTTCGGTGACCTCACAGTGACATCATGGCCCTGACCACCATATCCTTTTAATCAAATCTTCGACCACTGAGCTGCATGGTGCAGTTTAACATGGACACCCATCTCAGACACAGTAGATGAACTATAAGCAGACCCCTCTCCAACTTATACCCACAAAGCTGTGCCCTCGTATGACGACATGCATGTGTGAATGTGTGGCTGCTTGTACTAGCCCAGACTTAAGCTAGTTAAGCCGCAGTGAAGCATGAATACCCCACTCAGACACATTATACTGACTCCGAGCCGACCAGTCCTTGTTGTACCCATTAGTGCCGAGCGCCAGGCAGGGACCAACAAGTACCATATTTTAACCTCTTTTGGTATGACGCGGCCAGAGATCAAACCCGCGACAATCCATCCTCCAGGAGAACCCTCTAACCACTACTCCACTTACATTAGTATAATACGGTCGTTGATCAACCCACTGTCCTTACACTCCCCTCGCAGACTATGTCCACTAGACGATGAACTCTATTGAATACACAGAAACTATGGCAACGATGTTTCAGTATCTTCATATTGCAAATAATGTTCACCCATAAGTAAGTCGCTATATGGCTGAAATAATGCTAATGTAAAAACTTGACTCCCTCACCTATAAGAAGAAGTGCAGCATCCATAACAGCTGCTCCGTTCAACATGGTTGCCATAAGAATGTCGTGCCCCGGGCAGTCAACAAAGGAAACATGTCTGCAAAAAAGTCAGTTCTTTCATTTGACATTTAATTAAACATTTTATTCCAATTTTTGTTATTTTCTCTGCAACACTTAACATGCAGTCATCACCACCAACACCATCATCATCATCAACCACCAGTGCCTCACCTCAGTAGTCTGAATTTGCCGCTGCATCCGATTCTGTCACAGGGAAAGACATCTTGGGTAGCGCTACCACATGACCTGTAACAGCCCGGTCTTGGACAAGACTCGTTTTCACACTTGTAAATCTGGAACAAGGATAATTTCTCATGTTATATCCTCAGGCTGTCATTATCTTGGGTTATCATTTTCTCAGGTGGTGTGTGACAAGGTGGTGTGTGGCATGTGGCATGGAGGTGTGTGGCATGTGGCAAGGTGGTGGTGTGGCATGTGGCAAGGTGGTGTGTGGGATGTGGTCTGTGGCAAAGTGGTGTGTGGTCTGTGGCAAGGTGGTGTGTGGGATGTGGTCTGTGGCAAGGTGGTGTGTGGTCTGTAGCAAGGTGGTGTGTGGCATGTGGTCCGTGACAAGGTGGTGTGTGGCATGTGGCAAGGTGGTGTGTGGGATGTGGTCTGTGGCAAGGTGGTGTGTGGGATGTGGCAAGGTGGTGTGTGGAATGTGGCAAGGTGGTGTGTGGCATGTGGCAAGGTGGTGTGTGGTGTGTGGCATGTGTTGGCATGTAGTCTGTGGCAAGGTGGTGTGTAGCATGTTGTATATGTGGCAAGGTGATGTGTGGCATGTGGGAAGGTGGTTTGTGGCATGTGGCAAGCTGGTGTGTGGCATGTGGCAAGGTGCTACATGGTCTGTGGCAAGGTGGAGTGTGGCATGTTGTGGTTGTATGTGATGTGTGGCAAGGTGATGTGTGGCATGTTGTGGTTGTTTGTGGTGGGTGGCAAGGTGGTGTGTGGCATGTGGCAAGTTGGTGTGTTGCATGTTATGTTTGTATGTGGCAAGGTGGTGTGTGGCATGTTGTGGTTCTATGTGGTGTGTGGCATGTTATGGTTGTATGTGGCGTGTGGCAAGGTGGTGTGTGGCATGTTGTCGTTGCATGTGTTCGGTGGCAAGGTGGTGTGTGGCAAGTTGTGGTTGTGTGTGGCATCTGTCAAGGTGGTGTGTGGCATGTTGTGATTGTGTGTGGCATTTGTCAAGGTGGTGTGTGGCATGTTGTGATTGTGTTGTGTGTGGCATGTGTCAAGGTGGTGTGTGGAATGTGGCAAGGTGGTGGTGTGGCATGTGGCAAGGTGGTGTGTGGTGTGTGGCATATGGTGGTGGTTGGCATGTGGTCTGTGGCAAGGTGGTGTGTAGCATGTTGTGGCAAGGTGGTGTGGCAATGTGTGGTGTGTGGCATGTGGGCAAGGTGGTGGTGGCATGTGGCAAATGTGGTGGTGGTGTGGCTGTAGCAAGGTGTGTAGCTGTGGCAAGGTGGATGTGGCAAGTTGTGATGTATGTGGCATGTGGCAAGGTGGTTTGTGGCATGTGGCAAGGTGTGTGGCATGTGGCAAGGTGGTGTGTATCTGTAGCAAAGGTGGAGTGTAAGTGTGGTTGTATATATGTGTGCAAGGTGATGTGTGGCATGTGGGAAGGTGGTGTGGCAGGTGGTGTGTGGCATGTAGGTGTAATTGTGTGGCATGCCGGCATGTATGTGGCAAGGTGGTGTGTGGCATGTTGTGGTTCTATGTTGTGTGTGTGGCAAGGTGGTGTGTGGCATGTTATGGTTGTATGTGGCGTGTGGCAAGGTGGTGTGTGTGGCATGTTGTGGTTGTTTGTGGGGTGGCAAGGTGGTGTGGCATGTGGCAAGCTGGTGTTGTGGTGTGGCATTTGTCATGTGTTGTGGCAAGGTGGTGTGTGGCATGTTGTGGTTGTGTGTGGCATTTGTCAAGGTGGTGTGTGGCATGTTGTGATTGTGTGTGGCATGTGTCAAGGTGGTGTGTGGCATGTCAAGGTTGTGTGTGGCATGTGTCAAGGTGGTGTGTGGCATGTTATGGTTGTATGTGGCGTGTGTCAAGGTGGTGTGTGGCGTTGTGGTTGCATGTGGATGTGTCAAGGTGGTGTGTGGCATGTGTCAAGGTGGTGTGTGGCAGGTGGCAAATGCCATGTTGTGGTTGTATGTGGTGTGTGGCAAGGTGGTGTGTGGTAAGCTGCTGTGTGGCATGTGGAAGGTAGTGTGTGGCAGGTTGCAAGGTTGGCATGTGCCATGTGTGGTGGGTTGTATCTTGTGGGAATGCCATGCTGTGGTTGGTGTCTGTAGCAAGGTGGTGTGTAGCATGTGGGATGGTGGTGAATGCCATGCTGTGGCTGTATCTTGTCTGAGGCAAGATGGTGTGTGGCATGTTGTGGTTGTATGTTTTGTGTGGCTAGGTGTGTGTGTCTGTGTGGCAAGGTGGTGTGTGGCATGTGGCAAGATGGTGTGTGGATGTGGCAAGGTGGTGTGTGGATTGTGGCAAGGTGGTGTGTGTGTCATGTTGTGGTTGTATGGTATATGTGTGTGGCATGTGGCAAGGTGGTGGTGTGTGGCATGTGGCAAGGTGGTGTGTGTGGTCTGTGGGAGATGTGTGTGGGATGTTGTGGTATATGTGGTGTGTGTCATGTTGTGGTTGTATACGGTGTGTGGCATGTGGCAAGATGGTGTGTGGAGTGTGGCATGTTGTGCTTTTATGTGGCAAGGTGGTGTGTGCCATGTTGTGGTTGTATATGGTGTGTCATGTGGCAAGGTGGAGTGTGGCATGGTGGAGCGTGGCATGTGGCAAGGTGGTGTGTGGCATGTTGTGGTTGTATGTGGTGTGTGTCATGTGGCAAGGTGGTGAATGCCATACTGTGGTTGTATTTTGTCTGAGGCAAGTGGTGTGTGGCATGTTGTGGCAAGGTGGTGAATGCCATACTGTGGTTGTATCTTTTCTGAGGCAAGTGATGTGTGGCATTTTGTGGCAAGGTGGTGAATGCCATGCTGTGGTTGTATCTTTTTTGAGGCAAGGTGGTGTGTGGCATGTTGTGGCAAGGTGGTGAATGCCATGTTGTGGTTGCATGTGGTCTGTGGCATGTGGTCTGTGGCATGTTGTGGCAAGGTGGTGAATGCCATGTTGTGGCTGCATGTGGTCTGTGGCAATGTGGTCTGTGGCATGTTGTGGCAAGGTGGTGAATGCCATGTTGTGGTTGTATGTGGTGTGTGTCAATGGTGTCAAGGTGGCCATGTTGTGGTTGTATGTGTGATGCATGGAAGTCAAGATGTGGTTTTCAGCATGTGGCAAGGTATTGTGTGGCATGTGGTATGCTGTATGTGACATGTGGCATATTTACTAGTCTCAAAATGGGTATGAAGTACCATCTGTTACCCTTTTTCAGCATAACATGGCCAGTGGTTGAACCACTGAACTTATTCTCTCCATGCTGATGCGGTTTCCAAACACAAAGTTTTGACTGTATTAGAACCAATAAATTCGACACGAAAAACAACATATGTATTTACCTTCGCATTGGCATAACCCAGTTTGATTGTGATGTTTCTCTCCAATTCATTCTTAAATCTGACAGTCTGAAACAGAAAAACCAGAATGTAACCATGGTAACACCATTAAGGCACATGGAAAATGGGTCACATATCTAAGCACTTATCACAAGAAAGCAAGTCATAAACATGATAACACAGGCAAAAACAAGCCATAAAACATAATCCAACATCTCTTACTGGCCATTTGTTATGTGTTGGTATCGAAAGGATTTTACCTACGATTATTTTCTTTTTTGAGGTGGTAGGGTATTGGAAGTCATTTTGTTAATTTGATGGTATTTTTTCAGTACTCCATTTCTTTATGTATAATGTACACACCCACACCTACACAAGAAAATATCTGTGTAAATGGGTGTGCTTCAGTTTTTAATACATTTCATAACGTCAACATATTACCATGAACGCATAACCTTGAAAAAAAGCATGATTACCTGCACTCCAGATATGGCTTTGACGACTGTTGACTTCCCATGAGCCACATGGCCGATTCTGCCTGAAACATGCAGAGGTACAGATAAGCTCCGTATCTGCGTAAATTACGCAAATATCATTGTGAAAACTCAATTCCTATTAGTCTATTGCGTGCAAGTACACTTGAATTTTTGTATATACGCAATAAATGTGATCTTACATGCGTATACACAAAAATGTCAAATCGTAGGGTAGATAAAATAACTGAAGTATACTGAGAGGTTCTATTTCAGGACATGAACTTGACAACTTGCAGTCTTCCTTATCGTTTCTCATATTACAGATCAAATGTAAAACACAAACACTAACATTTAAACTATATATTTTTAAAATTAATGGAAAATGGCGATATACCCGATTTAGTTTGAGTGAGGTGGGTACAATTTATTTGGTTACTCAAAGAAAAATTAGGATACCCATTTGAGATGAAGACAAGCGAGTACTTAACTCAATGACCCAAAAGTTATCTGTAGCTCTGAACATGCAAGTAAATCAGTGAGTGAATTTAGTTTTATGCCACTTTTAGCAATATTCCAGCAATATCACAGCAGGGGACACCAGATTGAGCTTCACAAATTGCACATATGTGGGGAATTGAATCTGTGTCTTTGTTTTAACCACTAGGCTACCCATCCACCCCTAACTCACCGAGTCTACGTTAACGCCAATATCTGATACCGGTACTTTTAGACCAGTTTTCTAGACTGTAGGAAATTACTCAACACTCGGGTGTCAGACTGCCCCACAACGAAGTGCATCTGATGCATGAGGTTTCACCTTAGGCAAGTGAGTTTGTTAAAAAAATGCATCTGTTCACCCAGCAGAAAAGAGGTACCCGGTGGGATAAGTCCTGTGACTGTTAACCTTCCTGTGCCTCACAGGCAGTTTGGGTTATCGGGGTAATAAAGTGAGTGAGTGAGTTTAGTTTACGCAGCACTCAGCAATATTCCAGCTATATGGCGGCGGTCTGTAAAGACAATCCAGGGATCAATAGCATGAGCATCGATCTGCGTAATTGGGAACCAATGACACCGATCCCGCTAGTCGCCTCTTACGACAAGCATGGGTTACTAAAGATCACTATTCTAACCCGGACCTTCACGGGTCCTGGGGTAATAAAGAGATAATGTTTTTGATTATGCACAAGTGTGTGAAAACAGGCGCCTTATAATAGCCATTATTATTTTTATCATTATGGTTGATGAACTTTCAAATCAATCACATGAATACTGATAAAATTCTAAACTCTTAACATCTTACCTATGTTTATGGTGGCTTGTCTACTGATGACATCTGGTGTCAATGGGGTCAACTTTCTCACATCCTGAAAAACAGACAAGGCAATATGATCAATAAGTGACTTTACACCACAGCATTGTTGTTCATATACCACAGTAATGTATTACTCCCTCCTGCCTGTCTTTTTGGTTGGTTGAGTTCGTAACTTTGTATAGTTTGTTTTCATGTTTAGTGCCACACTCAGCAATATTCCAGCTATAAGATGAAAGTGTGTACATAAAGTCATGTGACTATAACCTTCTAGCGCCTAACAGGCAGCTTGGGTTATCCGGGGTAATAAGAATCAGATTCCCATTAAGTGCCGCGAGCAATCACTTGGTGTTTGGAAACGTGCGCTATAGATGACTTATTATTATTATTAATATAAATGAGTCTGGACCATACAATCTAGTGATTGGCATCTTGAGGATAGATCTATGGAATTGGGATACAATGACATGCATCAACACAGTTGGTAAGTCTGACCACCTGCTCCTGTTAGTTGCCTCTTATGACAATCATGGCTTGCTGAAGGCCAATTGTAACTTCACTGGTCCTGACATATCTATGCCATTAATAAGGATGCTTCCAAACTAAAGAAAAGAAACTGAAATCTTTTTGCAACTTTAGCAGCTGGCAGATATATGCCCCCATATGGATATATTCCTTAAAATGTTTTCAGAATTTCGCTGATAGTTTATGCTCATCCTTGAAGTCAGTGACACTCCAATGCGAAACATATGCACTATTTTAATTATGAGCAAGTGAGTTAGGTTGCGGTATTAAAACGAAAATAAAATAAAAAACACTTTCTTACACAGAGATAAAACGATCAAATTAAGAACAGCTGCTTGCACAGAAATCGCGGTTCAGCGACAGATAACCATGTCAACAGACTAGCTGATAACCACGCCGGTATGCAATATGCTCTGGGAAAGAAATGTATTTATCTATTTGGAAATATACTGGTTTTATTCATTGTCTTATAAGCGTTTAGCCCATCGCCTCTTTACTCACAAGAGTAGTAAGATCTTGACGGGACAAGTGAGGCTGTCTGTTCACCGACTTATCTTCTTCTTCGCCGGCCATGCTTTCTGATGCAAGTCTCTCAAATACCACAATCCTTCCGGAACTTCCTGAATACAAGATACTATGTTTATAAAACTAATGCAGTACATTAAACTCTCCAAACAGTCATATGTGTAAATACTTCATTGATAAAAATACAGGAACGCTAAAGTAATGATTTTAACATGAATATTAATAATAATTAAATATGATATGTTTTAATGCTGCATATACAAACAGCAAAAGTCGGACACACACAATGTAATTCTTAAATATTATTTGTCTTTGTACAAATAGTATATATTCTAACCAATCGGAAATTAAAACGATGATTTACTCCGGAGCAGCTTTTGACCCAGATTATGCACGCACACCTGATTGAAAGCGGCTCACATGAAAGAACCATTTCCTGATTGAGAAATGAATTAACGGTTAAATAGCCGTTATATATCTCATGCGACAATGTTTTCATGGATTTGACAACGGTGTCATCCCGTTTCAAGACATACATGATGCAATAACGCTGTCACGTTGTAAATGTGGTTGTGTGAAGGATGATTCATGTATATTTCAAGACAAAATATTGATCAAAAACCACATGTTGCACTGTGATCAAAATTTGTCTTATCACAGCCATGCTACAGTCAACATGGATAGCTCTTGTGCTTGGTTTCTGGTCGTCGTTGTACCTCTTGGATGCATTTCTGAAGGTATATATGTTTTCAGTGTGATCACAAGTTAATCATAATCATTCAGTGCTAAAGAGATCCATTGTAAGACAAGCTGCATTGTCGAGCGTGTTTTGGTTCTCATTAACGATTGCCAGTTTCTATTGTTAATGAATCTAATGTTTCGACCCAGTCATTGTCAGCTCTTCTTTTCAAAGACTCCATTTCATCAGATTCATTGGAGATGGTACCTGGCTTAAATTTAGACCTTAGTCATGTCTAAAATAATGGCGATAGGCACTGGATATATGACTTATAAGGCCCAGTAATACAGTATAATAGATTTAATTAAGAACACACACATGGTTTGTGAATGGAAAGTTTTTCTAGTTATGTGATATTTATTTCTGTCAAGTTTAATTGCCATCTTGAAGATATGTTACCATAGTTACCTGATACCCCACATCAAACATATAATTAATTACGGTACTTGCATGGGTGATGGGAATTTGTTGCTGACATTCGACATTTTCTAGCTTTCAAATAACCAATGACAGTATACTACTTTTGTAGCTGAATAAGCATTTGAAGATGTGAAATGACCGTGTTTGTAATGAGACCTGTTCATCAGCTCCAAGAGACTCGGGTAAAGTAGTAATATAAACTATTGTTCTGATATTTTGCTTCTATAGCAGTTTATGCCATAGGCATAACAAAATCAACAAAATGGACTAACTTTTGATAGTTATGTCATGTTCATTATTTGATCATGGGCACAATGTGTGAAGCCCATTTCTGGTGTCCCCCTCCGGGATATTGCTGGAATATTGCTAAAAGCGGCGTAAAACTAAACTCAGTCAGTCAGTCATTATTTGATCATCAGGTCATATTTAACTAGCATATTTAATCATGGGATCACATACATTATCAACACACTAACGTCAAACAGTGATTTTGGCATGCAAACTGTTGTCAAATTGATTTTGGCCTTGGATACAATTGTCACATTGAAAACCTCTGCATATGATATATAAAACTGACATTTAAATTAACATGATTAAGGACAGTTTTAAAAACTAATGTTTTAAACTGCTAGTATTATCATCTTCTATAACTAAACTGATGGTTAGTTTTCTAGAAATGTTCATGTGTACAGTCTCCAAGTTAACAGCAGGTTTTAATACTGGAAGAGTTTGTTCTAAGTCTTACCTTTGGAAGCCTTTCCTTCAGTCATGTCAGATATAACTTCTGCTTTTGACTTTTGTGTTTGCTTAGACTGTTCCATGATGAATCTTGGTTCAAATCTCTCTTAAATTCTTTTTCTCTAATGCAAATCATTACTTTTCTGGAGAAATGGTTGGAGTATATTCTTTCCTGATGTAAATCAATGACTGATGGTCAATATCTGATTTTCTTTATATAGTATATCTGATGCAAGAGAACTGATGCAATGAAAGGAAATTGGAGTTCTACTGCAACTAGTATGACTAGTTCTATTAATAAATATTTTAGTATGCTTGATGTAAGCATTTGGAGAGCACACTTGTTTAACCATGACCTGTAACTTAAACATGCAACCTCATATATGACCAACTTGCACCCAGTGCATGTTAATACTTTGCTGTTCAAAGAAGACAGGGCGGTGGGGTAGCTTAGTGGTTAAAGCGTTGGCTCGTCACGCCGAAGACCCGGGTTCGAATCCCCACATGGGTACAATGTGTGAAGCCCATTTCTGGTGTCCCCTGCCGTGATGTTGCTGGAATATTGCTAAAAGCGGCGTAAAACCAAACTCAGTCAGTCAGTCAAAGAAGACAGACTTCAACTGGAAAACAGAGAGATGAGGAACTGGCTTGGTGCAGTAACTCTGAAGACAAATATACAGCGATTGAATGACTGTTACTGTTCATATCATAAAAAAGTTATGAAGTAAATTATAACAGGGTTCAACACTAAGGCACGTCTGAATGACATTGTCTAGTAAATAGCTGGTTGGGTCTTCCGGTAGTTAAATTATGTCTGGCTAACCCGACTGGTCTTGTAGATATTTAATGAACGCTGTTTCAAATCATCTTATTTGTTAATTTTGTTATTATAATGAGCATTATAGTGATTGTTATAAGCTTATTAAAGTGTAAAAAGGCTATAAAAGCTACACTTCAATGATAAACGTTCTTCAGAAAAGTAAAAAGCTAAGGTATACAATATTCATAACGGACAAAAGATAACAATCATCACATAGTTTTGTGTTTAATATGGTTTGTTCTTCTAGTATGCACTATAAAACTGCTGGTAACCAAACTAACCTTGTTTTGTCTTCCCACAGTATAGTCTAGTTGACATAGGTCTGGTCTTATACATTATATGGTCCACAAGTCCACTGGTCTAGTAATAAAAGAATGTAAACGTTGAACCCTTAACTGAACAAAAATAATTTTGTTGTAATGTTTTCAATCATTGCTATAAAAACTCATTCATTGAATATTATTCTGTATTTAACAGCAGGTGTAGCCTATTTTTGTTTTTTTTGAACAAGGTTATTACCAAAAGTTGCAAAAGGTGCTCGTAGGTATAATTTCCTCAAATCGAGCCCAGAAAGTATCTGCTTAAATGTGTTAAAGGTGGAATTTTTAAATTTTTATTTTATTATTCCATAAATGGAAATGACATGACACTTAATACGTGCTCTTCCTCAGACCCCCTAATAAAGTGGCAATAACCTTCGTATTCCTTGAGGCGGTGAAGTAACCAAGTGGTTAAAGTGTTCACTCGTCACGACAAAGACCAGGGTTCGATTCCCCACGTGGGTACAATGTGTGAAGCCCATTTCTGGTGTCCCCTGCTGTGATACTGCTGGAATATTGCTAAAAGTGGCGTAAAAATAAACTCACTCACTCACTTACTCACTTTGTATTTCAGACGAAGAAGTCAACTAGCCGATCATACCGTCATGCACTGGACAGCAGTGGACTGACCGTGTCCGTGTGTCAGCTGAGATGGTACACCAACTCCCTGAACCGGCTGTTCCTCCGTGTAGGGCAGTGGAACCCACGTATGCTGCGCTTGTGGTTCACCGTGGGCGTGTTCTTCAGTCTGGTGGCGATGCTCATCTCCATCTTCGTCTTGACACTACTCGTCCTCAACACTTTACGCAGGCAGCCGGTGGAACACCAGGTCCTCACACCTGTGGTAGGTGCTGTCGTGATTTACTTCTGGGGTGATTCTCGGACAAAACAGGTTGCCAGTAGGCTACTATGGTCAGGGAGGCAAATAAGTGGATTGGGTGGTCAGATTTGCTCATTTGATTGATTGGGTGTCATTGTACCCTGAAGGCGTGAATCTGTTTGTTTCATCATTGGATTGTCTGGTTCTGATTCAATTATTTACAGCCTGCTGTGATGCAGCTGAAATATTGCTGAGGGAGGTGTTGAGCAAAAAGCAAAATAAAAGCAGGGCTTGATTTAGTGATTTGTTACTTGCACTGGTGCAACCTATTATTATAAAGTGCAACCTAGCTATTAGTCTAACTTGCACCAGGTGCAAGTCAATTTTTGAGTGGGTAAACTGCTGAATAAAACATTGAAATAATTCAATAGCATACTAGTATTTCTTTCATTACATATTGCAGTAAAAGCAGTGCAACTGGAATTTGTCTGGTGCAACTAGGTTTTTATCTTAGGTTGCACCTGGTGCGAGTAGGTTAACATATCTTAAATCGAGCTCTGAAAAGACTGTAGGTTCCACAGTTACACACACTGTGTCAAGATTATTTCTTTGTATGCAGAAGTCAATATACCTATTGGGACCTGAATTTAGATTTTTTTAATTGTTAAACATGAGAAAACAGAATCATAAAACATTATTAAATTATAATCTGAATAAATTTATATGTGTTAGCAAACGATTAATCAATACAATATTTACATTAAAACACATCTAATTCATCTGTCTTGCAAGACATTTCATTATCTGTGACCAGCTGTGTAATGCATTGAAGGGTCAATAAACTTCAATTTTTTGGATTTGTTACTTGTAACCTTATGATGATGGTGGTTATACAGATGTACACTTTGTTTTAATGCAGTCATCAGTCTAGTATGTGCAAGGCTGTCAGGTTAGTTTCATGAAGATCTCGGTTAGAATTGATCTTCAGTAACCCATGCTTGTCGCAAGAGGCAACTAACGGGATTGGGTTGTCAGGCTCGCTGACTTGGTCAACGAATCCCAATTGAGTAGATCGATGCTCATGCTGTTGATGACTGGATTTTCTGGTCCAGACTTGATTATTATTTACAGACTGCTGCCAACCAACCAAGTTATGTTTTTGTTCAAATTTGATGCATGGGTGCTCTGTTCAAAGGGAGATAACTCTAAGACGAATAGTTTTGTGAAGTTGGGTACAGACAAGTTCTCCTGTTCTTGTGGGTAATGTGGTTGCTGACTTGGTTGATGCATGTGCTCATATCTCAACTGTATAGATTGAGGCTTATTATGTCAATCACGGGATCATCTGGTCTAGAGTCAAATATCTTCAGAACACCATGATTCAGATGGGACGATATGGAGTATGACATAATCTAGGGATGTCACTATACATAAGTTTCATGAATCGATACATATCACGATACCCATGTCACGATACCCATGTCACGATACCCATGTCATGATACCCATGTCACGATACCCATGTCATGATTCGATACGTATCACGATACCTATTTTCGCAGCATTAATGCGTCAATTTAGTTACATTTTGAACATTAATCATGTTAATATTTCATATTTTGTAATTGTCCATGAAAATATCAACCTTTTTAATTCTCACAGATTAAAAAGTTCTAATTTCCCATCTTTGTGCATGAAAAATAATCATTTATAACTCTCATAACATCAAAAAACATGATACAATTGCAAAATGTAAACGATACATAAACATATTTAAACCGATACTTTCAAAACTAAATATCAATACAGTTTTTAATGTATCGATAATTGTATCGTCTTAAAAAAAGTATGGATGCATCGATGTATCGTGGCATCCCTAGCATTATCCAACAAACAAGCTTGTAATAATCTGTGAAATTTATCATCATTTAGTTCAAAGGTGAGGTGAGGTGAGGTGAAATTGGGTTTAACGCCGTGCTTGAGAATATTTCGCTCATATGACGACGTGCATGCGTGTGTATGTGTATGTGCGGCTGCTTGTACTAGCCCAGACTTAAGCTGGTTTTATAGTGCTAGCTCACTGAGATACCATGCCGCAGTGAAGCACGAATACCCCATTCAGACACATTATACTGGTTCCGAGCCGACCAGTCCTTGTTGTACCCATTAATGCCGAGCGCCAGGCAGGGACCAGCAAGTACCATATTTTGACGTCTTTTGGTATGACGCGGCCGGGGAACGAACCTGCGACCTTCCGCTTTCCGGGCGGACGCTCTAACCACTACACCACGGAGGCGGTCTTTAGTTCAAAGGGAACCATCATGTACATAAAGTAAAGTTCACAGAAGTATTTAACTGATTATTTGTACCTGTGAAGGTCCAGGGTTAGAATATTGATCTTCAGTAACCCATGCTTGTCGTAAGAGGCGACTAACAGGATCGGGTGGTCAGGCTCGCTGACTTGGTTGACACATGTCATCGGTTCCCAATTGCGCAGATCGATGCTCATGCTGTTGATCACTGGATTGTCTGGTCCAGACTCGATTATTTACAGACCGCTGCTATTTGGCTGGAATATTGCTGAGTGTGGCGTAAAACTAAACTCACTCACTGATTGTTTGTAGATGTTGCAGTGACAGGAAGCTGTTCATACCTGGTCTGCTGTTTCAGATGCCAGGGGTGAATCTGCCGACCAGTCAGATCTGGTACTATCTGCTGACGCTGCTTGTGTGCGGCATCTTGCATGAGTTTGGACATGCTGTTGCTGCAGTCAGGTACGTCAAGTTTACTTCATCTGTCAGGTTCGTCTAGTCTCCGTCATATGTCAGGTATGTCAAGTTTCCTTCATCTGTCAGGGGGGCGGTGGGGTAGCCTAGTGGTTCAAGCGTTGGCTCGTCACGCCGAAGACCCAGGTTCGATTCCCCACATGGGCACAATGTGTTAAGCCCATTTCTGGTGTCCCCCGCCGTGATATTGCTGGAATATTGCTAAAAGCGTCGTAAAACTAAACTCAGTCAGTCAGTCAGTCATCTGTCAGGTTCGTCTAGTCTCCTTCATCTGTCAGGTACGCCTAGTCTCCTTCATCTGTCAGGTACGTCTAGTCTCCTTCATCTGTCTGGTTCGTCTAGTCTCCTTCATCTGTCAGGTACGTCTAGTCTCCTTCATCTGTCAGGTACGTCTAGTCTCCTTCATCTGTCAGGTACATCTAGTCTCCTTCATCTGTCAGGTTCGTCTAGTCTCCTTCATCTGTCAGGTACGTCTAGTCTCCATCTGTCTGGTTCGTCTAGTCTCCTTATCTGTCAAGTAATGCCCTCCTTCATCTGTCTGGTACGCGTCTAGTCTCCTTCATCTGTCTGGTTCGTCTAGTCTCCTTCATCTGTCAGGTTCGTCTAGTCTCCTTCATCTGTCAGGTTCGTCTAGTCTCCTTCATCTGTCAGGTTGTCTAGTCTCCTTCATCTGTCAGGTTCGTCTAGTCTCCTTCATCTGTCAGGTTCGTCTAGTCTCCTTCATCTGTCAGGTTCGTCTAGTCTCCTTCATCTGTCAGGTACGTCTAGTCTCCTTCATCTGTCAGGTACGTCTAGTCTCCTTCATCTGTCAGGTACGTCTAGTCTCCTTCATCTGTCAGGTACGTCTAGTCTCCTTCATCTGTCAGGTTCGTCTAGTCTCCTTCATCTGTAGTCTCTCCTTCATCTGTCTGGTTCAGGCGCCTAGTCTCTAGTCTCATTCTTCTGTCTCCTTCATCTGTCAGGTTCAATGCGGTACATCTCCTTAAGACCCAGGCTCGATTCCCACATGGGTACAATGTGTGTCTCCTCTTCAAGAAGCCCATTTCGGTGTCCCCTGGCCACGCCAAGGTCGTGATATTGCTGGAATATTGCTGGAATATTGCTAAAAGCGGTATAACAGTACTCACTCACTCATCACAAGGATGTTTGTATATCTGAAAGATAACATTTTACATATTACAGGGAACAGGTCAGAGTAAATGGGTTCGGTGTCTTCCTGTTTCTGATGTACCCAGGCGCGTATGTTGACCTCTCCACAGAACACATCCAGGTTATCTCCCCTTTACGACAACTGCGAGTCTACTGTGCAGGTGTCTGGCACAACTTCATTATCGTCATTGTTGCGCTGTTTGTGTTGATGCTCATGCCCCACACACTGATGCCGTTCTACACACTCGGCAAGGCGGTGGCCGTTACAAGTGTTATCCCGGTGAGTAGAGCAAATCAAGAGATGTAACCTTGACATTGACATGGAAGTCCAGGTTTCAATCCTTGCCACCTTGACTGAAATTTCTTGGCTTGATTGTAGCGTCACAAGTGGCTATTATGAGCTACAGTATGCTATGTTTATGTTGATCAGACTTAAAATGAAATGACAGATATAACAAACTCTTATTTGTCCAGGCCACATGTATATTTTAGTTGAAATGCTTTTAACAAACTCTGGTACTTGCCTCTTTTTGATCAGTCGGATGCCATCTCTCTTTTCACTTACATTTTCTTCAACAAAATGGTGGCACCCAGTCAATGGAGTCAAGATGATCTCATCAGGATCAAGAAATTTGAAGCTTCATTGATGATTTGCTTAGTGAGATGTTCACCTCCTCAGTAGTGGTGGTCCGATTAATTGAAATAATCGAAGATTGGTCGCAGTGACTAAACGACCAAGCAATCGATCATGTTTTCTCATAATCAAACACAAACAATTCTAGAACACTTGTTTTCATTAACAGTATTTTTCACTAGGTTGGTTTTGTGTGTTACATTTCATGACCACTACATGCTCGTTCCAAGTCATGGTTGAATTTATCTTAAAGACTCTAAGAAATTTATGTTCCTAACATACTAGTCATCCTTTAAAGATGTGAAATTTTGCCCCCAACCCTCCAAAGAACTACATGTTGTTTTCCTTATTTTTTTGTACATTAACAAATTTCATAAATGACGCTAACCAATTATTTTCGATGATTGATCGGTTGTAATGAACCAACCATCAATTATGAGATTTTAACCAATTCCCAACACTACTCGTCAGGAATAGTTTTCAAATGTTAAGACTGGCTAGGGAAGACTATCAATATGATTTTACTTTCCACACTCAACACACTAGTTATGTTTTTGTTCATGGCCTGCTTCTAAGTTAAGTTCAGAATACTGTTTTTGTCAATAATCCATGCAAAATGTGTCACTTCTCACCAGTGACTTGAACTATGTTGATTTTTTGCTCACTTTTATTTATTGATAAGAAATTGATATTTAGTTCACGATTGTCCATCTCTGTGATGTACATGGATAGCCAGCCCTAATAGATCTTCATACAAGAGTTGTTGTATTAAAAGATGGCATTAATATAACTGCATCCTATGTTGCAGAATTCAGCTGTATCCGGACCTCGAGGTCTCCTGCTGGGCGAGCCAATCACACGGATCAGTGACTGCATGGTGACCGACCTTGACACTTGGCACGACTGTATCGTGGCAAGCATGAAACAACAATCTCTCGGACACTGCATGCCGGTGCAACTTATTCGGGATCTGGATACTTCACCTAAAAGTAGGCTTCTTTTTGTCTGTTCAAAAATAATGTTATTTTGCCCTATCATATCTCTTATCACTCCATATGAGGCTGGTGATTGTCGTAAGAGGCGACTAATGGGATCGGTTGGTCAGACTCGCTGACTTTGTTGACACATGTAATTGTATCCTAATTGTGTAGATCGATGCTGATGCTGTTGATCACTGGATTTTCTGATCCAGACTCGACAGACTGCTAACATATAGCTGGAATATTGCTGAGTGTGGTGTAAAACCTAACTCACTCACTCACTCACTCTCTATTATTACTAGAAGTATGTTTAAAGTTTCAAATAAGAATCATCAGAATCAGTTTTTGGCTTCTGAGCATTATGTTTCAATTGTTTATTCAATCTTTAATTTAATTCCAAACGCACAATCATCAGTATATGTTCATGGTTTCTGAGCATATGCATTGATGTGTCATCCATGAAATTCTTGGACAGGTGAAGTACACCTTTAGAATTATGTGATGGAATTAGGTAATTACTGTGATGGTGATTGTTATTATTCATCTGGTTATGATGAACATTGCAGATTACAGTCACACACCTGACTCCCTGGATTGCTGTAATGAAACGAGCAGTACACACCTGTGTTTTCTATATCACACCAAGTCCAGGGCAGACACAGTGAGTACACTCTTGAGTACACATTTGAATGTACATTTGAGTATGGTTCAAAATAGAAAAGACCTGTGAGGAGCCGAGTTAGAATTGATCTTCAGTAACCCATGCTTGTCGTCAGAGGCGATCGGGTGGTCAGACTTGGTTGACACATGTCATCGTATCCCAATTGTGTAGTTGATCACTGGATTGTCTGGTTCAGACTCGACATTTACAATATAGCTGGAATATTGCTGAGTGTGGTGTAAAACCTAACCACTCACTCACTCACTCTCTATTATTACTAGAAGTATGTTTAAAGTTTCAAATAAGAATCATCAGAATCAGTTTTTGGCTTCTGAGCATTATGTTTCAATTGTTTATTCAATCTTTAATTTAATTCCAAACGCACAATCATCAGTATATGTTCATGGTTTCTGAGCATATGCATTGATGTGTCATCCATGAAATTCTTGGACAGGTGAAGTACACCTTTAGAATTATGTGATGGAATTAGGTAATTACTGTGATGGTGATTGTTATTATTCATCTGGTTATGATGAACATTGCAGATTACAGTCACACACCTGACTCCCTGGATTGCTGTAATGAAACGAGCAGTACACACCTGTGTTTTCTATATCACACCAAGTCCAGGGCAGACACAGTGAGTACACTCTTGAGTACACATTTGAATGTACATTTGAGTATGGTTCAAAATAGAAAAGACCTGTGAGGAGCCGAGTTAGAATTGATCTTCAGTAACCCATGCTTGTCGTCAGAGGCGATCGGGTGGTCAGACTTGGTTGACACATGTCATCGTATCCCAATTGTGTAGTTGATCACTGGATTGTCTGGTCCAGACTCGATTATTTACAGACCTCTGTCATATTGCTGGAATATTGCTGAGTGCATCGTAAAACCAAACTGACTCACTCAAAATAGAAAATAATGCAACAGCCATGTATCACTCAAAATAAGTTCAGAACAGCAGATTCTTTCATACGACTGTGTGGGGAGGTGGGGTAGCCTAGTGGTTAAAGCGTTTGCTTGTCATGCTCAAGAATCGGGTTTGATTCCCCACATGGGTACAATGTGTGAAACCTATTTCTGGTGTCCCCACCGTAATAAGTTCAAGGATCTGTACCAAACATGACATGCTTGAAATCAGTTCAAGGACCTATACCAAACATGACATGCTTGAAATCAGTTCAAGGATCTGTACCAAACATGACATGCTTGAAATCAGTTCAAGGATCTGTACCAAACATGACATGTTTGACAACGGTACAAGAATCTGTACCAAAACGTGACATGCTTGACAATGGTGTAAGGAACTATACTAAAATGTGACATGCTTGACAATGGTGTAAGGAACTATACTAAAATGTGACATGCTTGACAATGGTGCAGGGAACTATACTAAATTGTGATATGCTTGACAATGGTGTAGGAAACTACTAAAATGTGACATGCTTGACAATGGTGTAAGGAACTGTACTAAAATGTGACATGCTTGACAATGGTGTAGGGAACTGTACTAAAATGTGACCTGTAGGGAACTGTACTAAAATGTGACATGCTTGACAATGGTATAGGGAACTATACTAAAATGTGACATGCTTGACAATAGTGTAAGGAACTATACTAAAATGTGACATGCTTGACAATGGTGTAGGGAACTATACTAAAATGTGACATGCTTGACATTGGTGCAGGGAACTATACTAAAATGTGACATGCTTGACAATGGTATAAGGAACTATACTAAAATGTGACATGCTTGACATTGGTGTAGGGAACTATACTAAAATGTGACATGCTTGACAATGGTGTAAGGAACTGTACTAAAATGTGACATGCTTGACAATGGTGTAAGGAACTATACTAAAATGTGACATGCTTGACAATGGTATAAGGAACTGTACTAAAATGTGACATCCTTGACATTGGTGTAGGGAACTATACTAAAATGTGACATGCTTGACAATGGTGTTATGATCAATGCAGAAATCTGACATCAAAATAGAGTAAATTGTTACGTGTTGAGTATCTAACCATTATTGTTTCTTAGCCGTTTCTAAATGCCAATCTAACAGACTAATTGTAAGGTTGGGGCGGTGGGGTAGTCTAGTGGTTAAAGCATTGGCTCGTCATGCCGAAGACCCGGGTTCAAATCCCCACATGGGTACAGTGTGTGAAGCCCATTTCTGGTGTACCCAGCCGTGATGTTAATGGAATATTGCTAAAAGCGGCGTAAAACCAAACTCAGTCAGTCAGTAATTGTAAGGTTGAAAAATCAGGTGTTTAAGTTCTTTTGAGGTGTATATATACTAACAATTTCTGTTTCGTATTTCATGTAAAAGTACCAAAACAAGATCCACAGGTTCATGTGTGCAATACATTTATCAGTTAGAGTTATCTCCCTTTGTATGTTGCATGAACTGATGGTAATTATTTCCTCCCATCTCATTTCTTTAGGATGGTTTGGTAATTGTTTGAAGATATTAGACATCAAAATATTCTGAAAAAAATTTAACATTTTAGAAACATGTTTCTTGGATGTGATACCAATGGTTTACATAGATCCATCCATTTTGGGACCTGTGAAGATTTGGGTTAGAAACAACCCATGCATGATGTAAGAGGCGACTTATGGACTCGGGTGGTCAGACTTGCTGGCTTGGTTGACACGTCATCGTAACTCTATTTCATAGATCACGGGTCATGCTGCTTATCACTGGATTGTCTGGTTCAGACTCAATTATTTAGTTTTCAATCCAGGGCATGAAATCATGTGACAGACAGCTTCTGTTGTGATAAATATTTTTAGAGTAATGTCACAAAACTGATGTTGTAACTATGTTGAATTAAACTTGTGCAACACCATGTCGTATTGATATTGATCTTCAGTAACCCATGCTTGTCGAAAGAGGCGACTAACGGGATTGGGTGGTCAGGCTCCCTGACTTGGTTGACACATGTCATCAGTTCCCAGTTGCGTAGATCGATGCTCATGCTGTTGATCACTGGATTGTCTGGTCCAGACTCGATTATTTACAGCCTGACGCCATATAGCCGGAATATTGCTGAGTGTGGCATAAAACTAAACTGACTCACTCACTCCCCCTCCACACTGATCTCACAGGATTGGGTGGTCAAGCCTGCTGACATGGTTGACACAAGTCATCGTATCCCAGTTGCACAGAATGCTGCTCATGTCAATCACTGGATTGTCTGGTCCAGACTCGATTATTCACAGACTGCCGCCAAATAGCTGGAATATAGCTGAGCGCGGCGTTAAACAACCAACCAACCGACCAACCAACCTCCACACTGACATACTATGCTTGTGTTCCAGTTGATCCAAGTTAAAGTGGTAGTGTATTTTGTGGGCATATCGTTCATTGAGGGTATATTAAACAGCAAATGCTTTTTATGTGTGGATAAGGTATTAGCTCACCTGGTGGACAGAATGTTTTTGTTTGGCGTTAGGCACCGGCCATTTGTTTGAGAGTGAGATTGGCTAAAGGGAATTGGAGGAGGTACCATACTTCCAAAAATATGTCTCTTGAGGAATATTGGAAAGTGACATCAAACAACAATCAATTCCGGCTGCTGAAATACAGCTAGAATATTCTTGAGGCCCTTTTTATTAATGATTTGGTTTATGTGTTATTATTTTTTAACCTTTTTTTAAAAAAAAAAAGTAGACTATTTTAAATGATCTTGTAAAGAGAATTGTTAACCACATAAGGGAAAAAATAATTGAAAATGCTTTTGAATGGTTACCTCATTTTCCGTATCAATGTTCATTAAATCTTTTTAAATTGCTAAAATATGGTGGTGCTTCACAGGAACACAAAATATTTTCAAAATGATCTTTTTGTCACGTCCAGTAAAAAGTAGTCATTTACAGAATGCTATTTTATTCACAAGGCCTTGGTTTGTAGTGAATTAGATTGCGGTCTACAAGTCGGTCCAGGTGAGCTGTGTCTTTGTGGCTGCGAATATTTCTACCCTTTGTTATCTTTGTATTTACTGGACTTACAGAGAATATCCAGTGTGTTTTACTATAACATACAGACAGCATAATCAGGGTTTTACACAGACTTTGAAAAATGGGAGTCATGGTGACTCACAGTATGTATTTTGGGAGTCATTTTCAATATTTGGGAGTCATGAAAATTTGAGTATAATATTTCTTTGAGTAAATCAAAAAGCAAGAGTTTTGCAAAGATTTTGTTGTTTTGTGTTGTATTGACATTTATATGATTAGTTAATAAATAGTAGGACAGCACGGTATTCCCGGTATACAGGTATATCGCAATATGCTTTTCAAACGATACGTATTGCAATGTTTTTCTGAGAACCGGTATATTGGTTAGAGAACATATATGAAGTATTTGTGATTATCTTTATGGTTTTTCATTAAAATCTTCACATCTTCATTGTTCAATTACAAAACAGTACACTGTAATGCAATAAACTGTATAAAAAAAGAAAACAGAATCCATCACTGTGCAACCCAATTTTGAGATTGCTGTTATCAGAACCAGAACATTTGTTTGGGGACTTATAATGTAGAAAATAGGACTGACATGCACAAATAGTGTCACACAATGTTAAACACTGAAGTTCCCAATATATCGCAATACGGGTACCTAATTCGCAAGATATTGCAATACAATTTATTTGCCAATACACAGCCCTAATAAATAGTATATTTTTCACTGTTCAGGGTTCGAAATACCCAATATATTAGCGTGTCATGGCACAGTAAATATCGAAATGGCACGGATAAAATATGTTCTCGGTGCCCTTATGGCACGCCTAAGACATAACACACCTAAGACATAACACACCTTTAGTCACTTAATAACCAAACAAAACACTTATGCAAATGACAACCAAGTAAAAACATTTATTGACTTTATCGCCCAGGAAATCACTGGGATTATGATGGTTCATGTAAAGAAATCTGGTTGTTTTTTCATTTAGAGTGTTGGGAGTACTGATAGATAGTTCAGTTATTGAAGAGGAAATTGTGTATGTTAGATATATTGAAAAAAGTGAACCTCTCACACAATTCTTAGCTATTAAAGGTGCTGGGAAAGCAGAACAAATGAAACATAAGAAAGCCATCTTAAACAGAAGACATATCAGTGATAACAGAAAACTTGTTGTTTTCTGACAATAAATTTCAAAAGATCATCATCTTTGCTACAGTCATTTATTCTAAAAACTTGAGTGCACACCATTGATAACTTGTAGATTCATCAAATATTAAAAGTATCAGCAGGGATATTTATTTAGCCATGACATTAACAGTGCTCATTTGTTTAATGTGACCAGCAATCTGGTCACTATTGTGCACTTCTTCTGCCTTTTCTGCATTATTGACAAATGCACTGAAATGCTGTTGCATTTTGTGAATTCAAACTACGTCGGTGTGATCTTTAGAAGCTTGATGTCTCATTCAGGTTGACTTCTGAAAATTTTGACAAGCAAATGTAAATGGGCTAGGTTTATATTTTGCCTGAATGCACATATCACAGGCCTTGATATTATTGATGCTGTCATATTTTAGCCAGGTGTTTAGCGACATCCAATCGTCACAAAATACCATTGTGACTGATTTTCATATCTTGCAGTTAGTTTTAGTGTTCGATTTACTTGCATCATCATTAGAAACGTAAGGAGATTTGCTTTTCTTGCTGTCATTACCAAAAAACGAGTCAATCCACTGCTGTTTCTCAGCAGTACTGGCCATGTGTAATGACCAAAACTAGTCTAATTATAGCAAATGACGTGCTCAACTGCTATTGGCTGTATAAATATAGTGAATGACATACTCAAATGCTATTTGTTGGCATCTTTACTGCATCGTGGCATAGCTCTATTTTTCGCCACTCAGTGTTCCCGTAGTTTTTGTTAATAACACGAGCAGTTTGCGATAAAACGAAAACTATCATTGCTTGCTTATCAATTCTATTTTCTTGAACAGAATTCTTATTTTCAGTCATAAAACTTTCGTCAAACTTGACTCGTAAAACCCTGCATATGATAATATTCTGAGAGTCTTTTAGAAAATTGTTAGGTCAAATACACCAGGCCTTAGGAATCATCCGTCATGTAAAACCCTGCATAATGCATAAATTGATATTCGTAATACTAGTATATGATTTTTGCAATATTGAAACACAAGGATAATATTCTCTTTACATGGGGGCCAGTGGGGTATTCTTATGGTTAAAGCTGAAGGCCTGGGTTCGATTCCTGACATTGGTACATTGTGTGAAGTCCATTTATGTCTGCTGTCCCTGCCATGATATTTCTGGAATAACCCCACTCAGTGACTCACTCACTCTTTATCATGTGATGTCATCCTTAAAATTTGTATCCCAATTGTGTAGATAGATGCTCATGCTGTTGATCACTGGATTTTCTGGTCTGGACTTGATCATTTACAGACCGCCGCCATATAGCTGGAATATTGCTGATTGTGGCATAAAACTTAACTCACTCACTCACTCACATCCTTAAAATTTCAGATATGTTCTTTGTAGAAGTAGCTTTAGAAATGGCACAGTAGCACATACCTGCATGAATTGACAATTTAATAATTTGTGTTACTGTTTGGTGGAAATAATTTGGCCCACTGTTTGTTTTGGAAGCACTTGAACATGGGGAACTTATTTGTAAAAGATTTTGGAAAATTGGCTTTAAATTTTAGCAAAGAGTATCACATCAATATTTATTCGACTTCATTTGCATATTTTCATACAGTGAATGTGTAAAGCCTATCTGATAACTTGGCATCACCATTCAATAGACATGCAAATTAGGTCATTCATTCGTAGGCTGTATGCAAATATATAAATCAATGAGCTATTCATGAACCTTTGCACAATACAAACTAGACTACTATACATTATTATTCTGAAGATATGCAGTTTTCATTGCCAAAATACACTGGTATAATAATCTCTTTTCTTCAGATGTTTACAGATCAAGATGCACTAATACAAATTCTTTGAACGAGGTTTTTTTCACATGTAGGACTATCCATTATATCTGTATTTTTCACTTGCGGATATGTTCCCTTATGCTGTAGGTCAATAGAGTTGAGGGGTCCTGTTGCCATTGTTTGTAGTGTGTTGACAAGTCCGTTCATTTTTAACTCCTGAGGAAGCTTGTTGGTTTGATCACTGTCCGTATTGTAACAGTGAGTGTAAGTTGAGGTTTACGCGGCTTTCACATCAGAAATGGGCTTCACATATTGTAGCCGGCATTAATGGGTACAACAAGGACTGGTCAGCTCAGAGTCAGTATAATGTGTCTGAGTGGGGTATTCATGCTTCACTGCGGCATGGTATCTCAGTGGGCTAGCACTATAAAACCAGCTTAAGTCTGGGCTAGTACAAGCAGCCGCACATACACATACACATGCATGCACGTCGTCATATGAGCGGAATATTCTCAAGCAACGACGTTAAACTCAATTTCACCTCACATATTGTACCCATGTGGGGAATTGAACCCGGGTCTTCAGCGGGATGAACCAACATTTTAACCCCGCCCTTCCATATTGGAAAAGATGTGAAAAGATGGCACTTGTTGTTACACTGCCTGGCGCTCAGAATTGAGGGATAAAACAATGGTTGGTTCAGAGTTGCTATGCTGTGCCTGACACCAACGGAGATATCCATGTTAAACTAGACCGCCTCCTTGGTGTAGTGGTTAGAGCGTCCGCCTGGAGAGCGGTAGGTCATGGGTTCGATCCTCGGCCGCATCATACAAAAAGATGTTAAAATATGGTACTTGTTGGTCCCTGCCTGGCGCTCGGCATTAATGGTCGGAATGGTTTCTCAGTGAATTAGCACTATAAAACCAGCTTAAGTTTTGACTAGTACAAGCAGACACACATACACATACATGTATATCGTCATATGAGCAAATTATTCTTCAGAACGACATTAAACCCCATTTCACCTCACCTCACCCATGGTAAACTGCGGCATGTTATCTAAATGGACGAGATAACATTACACAATTGTCTGTTATGGTACAAAAATTCATTCACATAGATTATATCTGTAAATGTCGCTACATTCAGTACAAGTGCATCGTGAGATTTTAAGTCCTGTTTCAATTCACATCAGTGTTAACTCTTACGTTTCATATCATCTCAACATTCCTCTGCACAATCTTTTCCATGGGTGGTTATGTCTCAGAAAGTTACTTGTAGAACTGAGGCCCAAATTTTACACTGGTTTGTTCCATTATCAATACTTCCCAAGTACGACTGTCAAATATTCCTAACAGATATTGGGGCAGTGGGGTAGGCTAATGGTTATAGTGTTTGCTTGTCATGCAGAAGACCCGGGTTCGAATCCCCACATGCGTTCATGTGTGAAACCCATTTCTGGTGTCCCCCGCCATGATATTGCTGGAATATTGCTAAAAGTAGCGTAAAACTAAACTCACTCACTCTCTCACTCTAACAGATATTGATGGATGTAGTGTATGCAGACCTGTGACATAATGATGGAGAAATGGTGTGCTTTATCTTCACATATTGCATAAATCGTGTTTCAGAAGTATGCTTGCCTTCCGGCTCGGACAACAACTGACCGTCCGATCTGTCGGCTGCAGAGTGACTGCTATACCCCCAAGGTAGAGATGGCCTGTGTATATCCAGCTGTCGACAATGAAACAAAACTTTTACGGATATATCATGGTCGGAGACCGCCATTATTATTTCTGGGGCATCCAGTTGACTTATTTTATTCAGGTGAGTTACATGAGAGGAAGTTTATTTCAGTTTGTTTATAAGGAAGAGCGTTTTATGGATGACAGCTTCTTTCTTATGAGGAACGCAACGTTTCGGAAAGGTCCTCATAATATAGAAGTTGACATCCATAAAACTCGAAATGCTCACTTCTAAATGCCATTCAAATACCTGAGTTTGTTTATAATTTGGCTGACAGTTTCTGGACAAATTTAACATAACGACATATGAACAAACACAATACCAGAACTACTTACCATTATTGTCCTGGACTTTGGGTGGTGATGTAGCCCCATTGTTAGTTGTTGACTCATCATTTGATTCCTAACATTGGTGCAGTGTCTACAGCCCTGCCTTTCTATGGCTGGAATATTGCTTTATAGGCGTAAGATCCATGTCACTTGTTCCATTGGAAGTGAAATATCTGAAACGTTCATCAGGAAAGAATGGTAAAACCTTTACTGTTCATTTGTTTCTTTCCGACTAGGCGTTTGTTTCAAGCTGGTAGTTATGCCTAGCAGATCTTTTCAAGTTGTTTCAAAGTACAGTGAAACCCTGTTTATCTGGACCTTGGTATTCTGGAACCAAGCTTTTTGGATGATCACAATAATTTGTGTTTACAAAAGAAACACTGTTGTTTTAATCTTCAAACTGGGTAATCTGAACCTTTTCACTAAGATTAGATCTGTCCAGATTAAAGAAGGTTTGCTATATATGTCCCAGATGATGTACTGTTGTAAGCTGAGGCCATTGTGGATACAGTGGAACACACTCCTCCATGTCATGTTGTTTTTTATTAAAACATTTTATTTTCTTTAAAAACATTTTTATATATATTTTAAAAACATTTTGTTTATTTTCAGTGTCTGTGAGCAATTATGTGCCAAACAGTTCCATCATCCCACTTAATCTTCCATATGTCATAGAAACATTTTGCAAGTATCCTTTTACAGAAAAATGTGTCATTAATAGTGCTGGGAATTGGTCAAAATCTCATAATTGATGATTGGTTCATTACAACCGATCAATCATCGAAAATAATTGGTTAGCGTCATTTATTAAATTTTCCTGATTATTTTTGTTAATGGACAAAAAAAATAAAGAAAAAACCCTGTAGTTCTTTGGTGTTTTTGCAAATTGCACAAAAGGCATTGGCAAATTTCCCATCTCTAAAGGATGACTAGTAGGTTAGGAACACTAATTTCTTGGAGTCTTGAAGATAAATTCAACCATGACTTGGAACGAGCTTGTAGTGGTCATGAAATGTAACAGACAAAACCAACCTTGTGAAAAATATTGTTAATGCAAACAAGTGTTCCAGAATTGTTTGCGTTCGATTATGAGAAAACATGATAGATTGCTTGGTCGTTTAGTCACTGCGACCAATCTTCGATTATTTCAATTAATCTGACCACCACTAGTCATTAATGATACAAGAAGCATCTTTGTGATGATGGGGTGGTGGGGTAGCCTAGTGGTTAGATCGTTCGTTTGTCATGCTGAAGACCCAGGTTTGATTCCCCAGTTGGGTACGATGTGTGAAGCCCATATGTCGTATCTCCTGCTGTGATATTGCTGGAATACTGCTAAAAGCGGTGTGAAACTCCCTCTCTCACTGTACTCAGCCTTATTACAGTCATATGCCTAACATTGGTCTGTGGAACCAGCGTTCGAAATAGCTACTGGCCCGCTAGCCAAATGCTAACTGATTGTGAATCAGGCTAGTAATATATTGTTAAAGCTATCACAACTGGCTAGTTGAAAATCTCAGATAATTTGTTTTCTATTTAATGCACATGAATATGATGAAGTCATTATTAAGGTGTTAAAAGTTCGCCCACAAAAATGTCATGATATTTATTATCAGTTGTCACATGAAGATCGCTATATAAATTTTTTTAATAGCTTTGCGCAAAAGAGGTTAGGAACCATTACAATAGGAACCATTACAATAGAAATGTAACGTTAACATCTTTAATTTCCAGACATCACACCAATTTAGACCAATGTGCATTTTGATATTGATATTTTGCAGGGCCATTGAAGTATGATGTGGGCCAGCAGCATTTTAACTTGACTAGCCCTCCTGGCCAGTGACTTTTCAAAATTAATTCATACACTGTGTGGAACTGCCAGCATATTGCTGGAGTATTGCTGAAAGCGGAACCTGTGAAGATCAGGGTTAGAATTGGTCTTCAGCAACCCATGCTTGTCGTAAGAGGCGATTAACTGGATCGGGTTGTCAGGCTCGCTGACTTGGTTGACACATGTCATCGGTTCCAAATTGCGTAGATCGATGCTCATGCTGTTGATCACTGGATTTTCTGGTCCAGACAAGACCATTTACAGACCGCAGCCATAAAGCTGGAATATTGCTGAGCGCATTGTAAAACTAAACTCACTCACTGTTAAAGCAGCTGATTTTGCAAGTCAGACTTGCACATGTGAGATATTATTAATTTCCAGAGAATCGATGCTGTTTGAAACTTCATGCATACTGATAATCAGACCTTAACTTCGTCAGATATTTGATGTCACTATCAGGGGCGCTAGTGATCCTCAACGTGGTTCCCTGTTATGCTCTAGATGGGCAGTGGATCTGCAAGGCGTTCATAGAGCTCAGTCTTCGATCGACCATCCCAGACAGTGATATACGGAGTCTTATATACAGCCTGTGTATATTGTATGGCACTGTGCTGTTACTGCTCAATGTTATAGTGGCTATGTGGACACTGTTCTTATAGCATTAGTGGGGGATACGTGATGTGTCCCTAGTGCCTTGAATGCTGCCTTGGATACACCTCAACATCAGCTGAACATCACCTCAACATCAGCTAAACATCACACATAACATCACCTCAACATCACATATCCTACATAACATCATCATAACATCCCTTCAACATCAGCTCATCATCAGCTCATCATCAGCTAAACATCACCTCAACATCAGCTAAATATCACCTCAGTATCGGCTAAACATCACCTCAGTATCGGCTAAACATCACCTCAACATAACATATCCTACATAACATCATCATTACATCCCTTCAACATCAGCTAAACATCAGCTCATCATCAGCTAAACATCACATCAACATCAGCTAAATATCACCTCAGTATCGGCTAAACATCACCTTAACATCAGCTAAACATCACCTCAACATCCACATAACATCATCTCAACATCACATATCTGACATATCATCAACATTGCATCCCTTCAACATCAGCTAAACATCACCTTAACATCACATATCCTACAAAACATCAAGATAGCATCTCCTCAACGTGAGTGTCCCCTTAGTGTCTTTTCAACTATCCATTTAACATCACCTCATCATCTTCTGAACATCACCTAAACTCGACTTTAACACCACCTTCACATCAACATTGCCTGTACATCCACTTAACATCACAATATCATCTCTTCAGCAACAGTGTCCTTCAACATCACCATAGGAAAGCATCAACATCACCTGAGCATACCTAAACATCACTACTGAAGTCACATCCACATAACATCAACATCACATCTCTTCAACATCAATGTCCCTTTAGTATCATCTCAACAATCAGTTTGTCACCTCATCTTCTGCACATCACTCCTCTGTAACATCACCTCATCAGCTTTGTCAACATCACCATTGTATCTAACATCAACATTGTATCTCATCACCGTTTATCTCTTTAGCAACAGTGTCCCTTCAACATCACCATTGTATCTCTTTAGCAACAGTGTCCCTTCAACATCACCATTGTATCTCTTTAGCAACAGTGTCCCTTCAACATCACCATTGTATCTCTTTAGCAACAGTGTCCCTTCAACATCACCATTGTATCTCTTTAGCAACAGTGTCCCTTCAACATCACCATTGTATATCTCTTTAGCAACAGTGTCCCTTCAACATCACCATTGTATCTCTTTAGCAACAGTGTCCCTTCAACATCACCATTGTATCTCTTTAGCAACAGTGTCCCTTCAACATCACCATTGTATCTCTTTAGCAACAGTGTCCCTTCAACATCACCATTGTATCTCTTTAGCAACGGTGTCCCTTCAACATCACCATAGTATCTCTTTAGCAACAGTGTCCCTTCAACATCACCATTGTATCTCTTTAGCAGCGGTGTCCCTTCAACATCACCATTGTATCTCTTTAGCAACAGTGTCCCTTCAACATCACCATTGTATCTCTTTAGCAGCAGTGTCCCTTCAACATCACCATTGTATCTCTTTAGCAACAGTGTCCCTTCAACATCACCATAGCATAACATCGGCATCACTTTTCCATTTTTATAGCAACTGAGCTTGAACTCACCATAAGCTCAACATCACCTTAACATCACCCTAACATCACCTAAACTCTCCAGTTTACAACTTCTATCATACTGCATATTTGGGATGTGATAACACAGGACTCAGTGAATATTTTTCATATTGCCACAGATCTTGTTCATTGTGTATTACAGAATTGATTCATGTAGTTTCATGTTGGATGGATGGATGGATGCAGCAGCTGCAGCAGCAGCAGCAGACGAACTTGGATGAAGTTTTGAGGATTTATGAGGTGTCTGATGTTTTTGCCCTTTTGCATCCACTGAATGTTTTGTTACATCCGTTTTGATTTGTGGACCAGTTCTAATTTCAGCCATTCCTCACATCAAGAGTACAGCAAGACCTCCCTGCTCCAGATATTACCATTCCATTTAAATTACCTGATAAACACATGTCTGGATAAACGAATCATGGGTACGAAAAAAAAAGAAAGATTTTATTTGGTTGCATATGGACGTAAGCTGTTTGACACATATCAAAGATCAGTTGCAAAGATCAATGCTCATTATGTTGATACAGATCACTGGATTGTCTGGTCCAGACTTGATTATTTACAGACTGCCATCAGATAGCTGGAATATTGCTGAGTGCGGCTTAAAACTAAACTCACTCACTCTGTCAAGATTGTTTAAATGTGATGTTTCATGGTTAACAGTGTCCAGTCTAAGAAGGTGTCGTCACAGTACACATACTGTTCAGTTGTCTATGTCAATCTGTACATTTTGCATCAATGCAAGGTCATATGTTTATTGCTGCCAAGAATGTTTTTTCTATGTCAGATTTAACAGATAATATTTGTTCACTACTGTCTTATTTGACAGCTCAAGATAGTAATGCCTGTTTACTTCGCCTTCAAATTTCACATGCACAAACACTGATTATTGTTAGATCAACAACTTGATGTTTAAACCTGTAAAGATCCGGGTTAGAATTGGTCTTCAGCAACCCATGCTTGTCGTAAGAGGCAGCTAACGGGATTGCTGACTTGGTTGACACATGTCATCATATCCCAATTGTGTAGATCGATGCTCATGCTGTTGGCACTGGATTACCTGGTCCAGACTCGATTATTTACAGACCGCCATCATATAGCTGGAATATTGCTGAGTGCAGTGTTAAACAACAAACCAACCAACCAACCAACCAACCAACCTTTAATGTGATGAAAACCCCCAATTTTTCTTCTGATTATGTTTTTAAACATCATATTTTTTCGGATTGCATTGTTATAGTATGACCAGAAATTATTGAGAATTTTAGGAATATGTTTAGTTGGATTTCTAGTATAAACAACCTTGACCAGCTATCAAGTGCTTGGTTTCATTCAAGAGAGACAACTCCGTTTATCCTTTTTCATTAGTTTGTGAATAGTTATCCCCCTTTGTTTACTTGCTAGCAGACGACATTTTCAGTGATCCTCAGTATGGATGATTTAGAGAAGAGGAAGTTGATATTAGAGTATTATAACAAGGACATCAGATCAGCTAAAGTGATTTCAAGTAGAACAGGCATCCCTTTGTCCACTGTTTATCGTGTTTTGAAAAATATTGCAAATGGATATGGCATTGAGCACCAGGGAGGCGCAGGTAGGCCCAGAAAATTGACTGTCGGTGACAGGGCGGCTTGATATTCTTGTTTCTAAAAACAAACGAAGGAAACTTAAGGCTGGATATGATTGATAGAGGAACTGTGGCTGTCTGTAAGGAGACAATTAGAACTGAGCTGCATGCAATGGGTTGGCAGAAAAGTCGAGGAATTCCATCACTGATCATGAAACCTGAACAAAAGGAGCGAAGGTTGAAATGGTGCTTACAGCATAGAAATTTTAACTGGGACAATGTGATTTTCTCAGATGAAAGTTCTGTGTGGCTGTTTCCTAATACACTGAAATTCTGGACCAAACAAACTAAAAACCTTTGTATTAGCGCCCAAAGTACAGTCCAAAATTTAACGTGTGGGGTGGCATATCTGTGTTAAGGGCAACGCCCCTCTGTGTATTTGAAGGGAATATGAACAGTGAGCGGTACACAGATATTCTCGAGGGACATTTACTTCCATCTGCTCACGTGTTCTATGGAAATGTTTGGATTTTCCAGCAGGACAACGACCCAAAACATCGTTCAAAGCATTCACAGGCCTGGTTTCGGACCCAAAATATGACATTATTAGATTGGCCAAGCTATAGCCCTAACCTAAATCCGATAGAAAATGATTGGGGACTTATGAAGGAAAGTGTCAACAAGAAAAATCTGACAAATATTGCTGAAATGAAAGAAGATGTTGTCCGATATTGGGACAGCATGGACCACGATTTTTTAACTTCTTTGATCAGTAGTATGCCCCGCCGCATTGAAGCCCGCATTGCTGCCCATGGTGACTTGACAAAGTACTAACTGTCCACCTGTGTTTGAATCTGGAGTTATGTTCTGCTAATATTCACATTTAATACGTGAGAAATGAGTGAATTTTTTTTAACAAAATAACAATCTTATATTCTCAATAATTTCTGGTTGTACTGTACGTCTCCCTATGGTGAGACAGGTCACATTGTAAATACTCACATGATGGCTTGTGTTTAAGGTCATGTCGCTGACATGTTTTATAATTGTTCATGTGATAATGGGCAAAGCAATAGATATTCTTAAGTGTCCGAAAAGCCAAACAGGAGGATATAGATGTTAGGGAGGTGGTGAAATTTGCCTGCTATGCAGACATTTATTGGTATGGCTGATACTATTATATATTATTTTCATTTTACTGTTCACTTTGTACCCATGGAAGGTCCGACTCCGGGTTAGAATACTGATCTCAGTAACCCATGCTTGTCGTAAGAGGCGACTAACAGGATCAGGTGGTCAGGCTCCCTGACCTGGTTGACACATGTCATCCGTTCCCAATTGCGTAGATGGATATTCATGATGTTGATCACTGGATTGCCTGGTCCAGACTCGATTATCTACAGACCGCTGCCATATAGCACGAATATTGCTGAGCATGGCGTAAAACTAAACTCACTCACTGTTCTCTTTGACTGTGTTGGATGAATTGAATTAATATTAAAAGAAGACCAGCTTGTTTTCACACTGGATCGTTCTGACCTGTAGATGACATACTGGCTACCAATTGGTGGAATTGGATGATCAGAAAGGACTGGGTGACAGTCTGACAAAATGGCAGTAATTGTTTCAAAATGTTTCACGGAACTTTTCGTCAGTTTCCACATGTGTATGGAGTTTGTACAATCAAAAGAAAATATTCTGTCTATATAGTATGTACTTAGTTTTGAAGAGGGTTTGTTATCAGTTATCCCCCCTGGTGAATTTGAACACAGATCTGTCTGACATTTGTGTTTTCGATCAAGTGGTGACTGTCCTGATGCCAAATACGTTCTTCCAAGAAAATTATTTTGTTAGTCAGTTTGTAATTCTATTTAACGTATATTGTAATTAGTATTGCGAGACAGTAGAGGATGGATGCAATTTATCATTTTAAACCAGTTGGATTAAACAAATATTTGTTTGGGGGAATATCAGAAATGTATACTCAACGTCATTTTGTTTTAAATTGAAAGCTTTCAAGATTTGTGGAATTTCTGCTTCCACCAATGATTCTTGCAGAGCTCTCATTCGCTGGGTTGCAGTTCAGGGAAATTCAGTCTGTGGTGATATTGGGCATTCTTGATTTTGTTACCACCCAGTTGTGCTGTTTAATAGGTCTTAACAATTTTGTCATTGTCTTGGTCTCTTTTGGCCCCAAATTATTTCAGTTTCAGGGAAAATTGAGGTTTGCATGTTTTGTCATTTTAAGGTTATGTAAATGTGGAAGGACTAATTAAATGTTGCAGGGAAATAGAAGACGAAGCTATTCCATTGCGGCAGTGAGTCCATATCCGGAGCATTAATAGTTCAAGTTTAATTAATTAATAAATATTTCATTACCATAACTTATTTGGGGATATGCTTCCAATTAACCCAAATCCACTGTCAACAGTATTATTGGCTGTGTTCACTTTTTGCAGCCATCCTTTCCCCCTAGATAACCTAAAATCATTTCTATATCGTCGGTATTATTTGCTGTGGTCGTATTTTGCAGCCCTCCTTTTCACTTTCGTGAAGTCACTGAGATGACAGATATTGTAACAATGACTTTTGGAACATGTTCATAAATATAATTATATTTTTATCCCCCGCAACACGTTTTGCGGGGGATATTAAAATGGACTCCGTCCGTGCGTGCGTGCGTCCGTCCGTCCGTCCGTCCGTGCACATTTTTCTTTTCCGGAGCAGAACTCTAAAACCGTTCACTATTTCTTCACCAAACTGGGCACATAGATAGATCTGGTGGTGTACCGGTGCCTTTTGGTAGTTTTGGAATTCTGAATAAAACATTTTTGGCGTGTCCATGGCAACAAGTTAGACTTAGAATGAAATTAGTGGTAGTGCTCTTTTCCGGAGCAGAACTCTAAAACCGTTCACTATTTCTTCACCAAACTTGGCACATAGATTGATCTGGTGGTGTACTGGTGCCTTTTGGTAGCTTTGGAATTCTGAATGAAATATTTTTGGCTTTTCTGTGGCAACAAGTTTGATTTAGCCTAAAATTGGGGGTAGCTCTCTTTTCCGGAGCTGGACTCTAAAACCGTTCACTATTTCTTCACCAAACTTGACACGTAAATTGGTCTGGTGGTGTACTGGTTCCTTTTTGGTAGTTTTGGAATTCTGAATAAAATATTTTTGGCTTTTCCGTGGCAACAAGTTTGA